TATATTGCTAGATGGATGAAAATGAAGTACCATTATTTCATCCATCTCCGTTACCGTTATCACATCTATCAGCACCATCTTTATCCTTTTCCACTATCACCATCATCATCTTCATCATCATCATCACCACCACCGCCAACAACAGAAGACAACCCATTCAGTCCCCACCACAAGCGGAAGAAGAGAAGAAGGTTCGTGACGCTGTGGAGGACACAAAAACGATTGAAGTCAGTTTCGCTGATGGTCCATTGAATAGATATGCTTGAATGATTGATGAAATTAATGAATTGAATTGATTGAGTTGTTTGTGAAGTGAATTGTTGGTGCAGTGAATTGTTGGTGCAGTGAATTGTTGGTGCAGTGAATTGTTGGTGCAGTGAATTTTTGGAGAAGAGAATTGTTGGAGAAGTGAATTGTTGGTGCAGTAAATTGTGGGTGCAGTAAATTGTTGGTGGAGTGAATTGTTGTGCAGTGAATTGTTGGTGGAGTGAATTGTTGGTGGAGTAAATTATTGGTGGAGTGAATTGTTAGGGGAGTGAACTGCTGGTGGAATGAATTGTTGGTGGAGTGAATTGTTGATTGAATTTTTGACTGGGTATAATTAGTGAACTATTTAAGAGTCCAATGACAACAACTGTTAAGTCACTCTTGCCACATATGAGGAACGAACGCCACCACACAACAACAGATTCAAAGTGCGACGTGTGGTGAAGAGCCAGGCCTTTTACTGGCTCATCATCGTCCTCGTCTTCCTCAACACTGTCTTTGTGGCCGCCGAGCACTACAAGCAACCCAGCTTCCTCACTGATTTCCTATGTCAGTGGTGATGATGATGATGATGGCGTGCGTGATTGGTGTGGTGGTGATGATCAATCTGATGATGTGGTGATGATTTGATGGTGGTGATGAATTTAGCAACCCTGGTAATGGCAATACATGTGTTGTGTACATGCGCATAAAAATATATAAATTCATACACATGTTTGTAAATATAATACATCTATATATGCATATATACATGCGTACACACATACAAACATTGATATGATATAAGCATACATGAATAATTAAATACACAACGTACACATCTCAGATCACGCGGAGTATGTTTTCCTAGCCTTGTTCGTCATGGAGATGTTGTTCAAAATGTTTGGCCTGGGTCTTCACTTGTACATGCAGTCATCGTTCAACATTTTCGATTGTTGTGTATGTCGTGGTGAAGTTGGTTTGTACATGGGATGTTGTGCGTGTGTTTTGTCGGTTCAGTATGTTCTCGAGTTTTGTATTTGTTTATTAACTTATAATACTTCCATATAGCTTGCCACTTCATTACCGATCTTATTACGTTTTTGCTATTTTCAACATTATTGCCAGGCAAACTGTAATGTTTATGTTATCCATCCATTCTAATTGAACAGTTCAATAAAAATATTGCTTGAGAGAATAAACAAATTAGCATGCACAAAATTGGATGACGCAAAAACATGATGACGTCAATCAGGTAATAGCTGGTAGCTTGTTCGAAGCTGTCTGGACCACCTACTTTCCCGATATTTCATTTGGCATCAGTATTCTGAGAGCCATGAGACTGCTTAGGATATTCAAAGTTACTAGGTATGTTCCAACATTTTATTAAAAATAATAATTTGTAGGTTATGTTGAAACCGATAACGCATTGATACGAACGAACAACATTGAAGGTATTGGGCTTCATTGCGAAATTTGGTCATTTCATTGCTGAGCAGCATGAGGTCAATCGTCTCCCTCCTTTTCCTTCTCTTCCTCTTCATACTCATCTTCGCCTTGCTAGGAATGCAGCTTTTTGGCGGAGAGTAAGTGTTTTTGTGTCCAGCAGTTTTGCAGGCCTCTACTGTGTTTTTTGCTTCAGTTCATTATGTTGTAAGATTTTTCGAGTTTGATTATGAAGTGTTTTTTATTGAAATAATATTGAGTTTTAGCTGGTGTGTTGGTTTACTTGTCCATATTATTTACGTTTTCAAACAGTATTCAGTTACATAAAAAATATTAATATATAATAAATCATGAGATATTCATAATTATCTAACAATTTAAAATAATTAAAAAAAAATAAATAAAAAAATGAACTAAATTTCACCATGGAATATAATTTATTCATCAAGGTGGAATTTTGAGACAGGTCGGCCAACGAGCCACTTCGACACGTTTGCAGTCGCCCTCCTCACTGTTTTTCAGGTTTCATTTTATTTTTGAAATGTTCAAATTCCAGCATTTATTTTTGCTAATCGTTTCGGTTAAACAAAGTTGTTTAAAAATTTTTGAAAGACTAAGAAAACTCAAAACACTCCTACGAAAATTTTTTAAACTCTTATAACCATCGTCGATCTTTTGCATTATTGGATTCCATCATTTCCCACTCATCAGATCTTACTTTTGCATTTTAATGAATGTCTTTCATGGTCAAAATTTCATAATTTAAATTAAAAAAATTTATGAATGAAAGAATTAGTTGAAAAAAATGTATGTTCTGATGTTTTATAAAATGACATATTTGAAACTCTGCCTTAACAATTTTTGAATTAAAAATTTCCACGCAGATACTGACGGGAGAAGACTGGAATGAAGTGATGTTTAACGCCATTGAGTCGCAAGGCGTCGACGAATATGGAATGTTCTACTCCATCTACTTCATCATACTCGTCCTCTTCGGGAACTGTTGGTTGCCTCAAATTCATTCACCTGCTTGATTATTTCATTAACATTTTTATATGCTTTTGATAACTATTTGAATCATTTTTAAACCAATTAAATATAAAATATTCAGTGTAATGAAATGAATCGTTGATATAAACTGGAAGCCATACAAACATTTTGACACTTTATTACCTGATTCTTGCGAGATGATGATTCATTGGTGATGGTACTGCGTCAGGCTCTGTGCATTGTAGTGAGTGATTGATTTGAGATTTAGGAAGATCCTCGCCTATCAAACGCAAACAGCGTACGACGCGTTGAAGCGTGTGTAGTCACTGCGTTCTGTTCATCGTACTTAATATCTTTTTGTTGTGCATGAAAAAGAATTTTAACATCATCACTAAGGAGTAGTGAACCTTAATATCATAATTCCTCCCCAGATACCCTACTTAACGTCTTCTTGGCCATCGCTGTCGATAACCTGGCGAACGCTCAAGAACTTACTGCTGCTGAAGAGCAGCAGGAGCAGAAGGCTGAACAGGTTTTTTTAATTATTATCAAATAATTCTTCGTCTGTTTAACTCTTGTGTTGTGCAACCATTTATAATGAAATTTTGGAAATTGTTTCAAACTTTCACAATTCGAGTGTTTCAATTATCTATTTTGCCGATTCGACCTGGTCTATATCGCTTGCTTATACGACTAATTTTTGTTTGTTCATTGCTTGCAAAGAAATAGGTTTTGTACATTTCGTTTGAACAAAATAATAAACTAATATATAAATAATAATAAATAAATAATAATAAATAAATTTTATCCATCAAAAAATAAAATTGAATTTATAATAAAATTCTACGTGATGAACATTTTAAACAGAAACGGTTTGACGAGACGGTTTTGGAAGGACCGTTTGGTGCTGCAGGCACTCTGCTTACCATTGGGGCCAACACGGGCTTCAACATTCAAGACCCTAACGACAACTTCAAAATGTTTGTTATCGCAATTTTATTTTTCATAAAAATCCAATGCCCCAACTTATGAAAATTTTTTCAAAATTTTGAAGAATGTCCTTCAACGACCCATTCGCTAACGTCGCCAGCCCTCCTGGCGCAAAAAAGAATAGCAAGGAAGACAACGGCGACGACGGTAATATCCATGCGAACGTTGTGGTTATCTTAAAGAAGACAATGAGTAAATTTCAATAAATGAATTCTGAATTTTTATTGCAATTGAAAGATGATGGTCAGGATGAGGGAGGACCTAAGCCCATACTTCCGTTCAGCTCCATGTTCATTTTCGGCACCACAAATCCGTGAGATGTCTTTTGTATAAAATAGCATTTGAAGTGTTATGTTTGCTTATTGTTTCATTTGATATAAAAATTTAAATTAATTCAACTTATTATGAAAAGTTTATGAAAATCACAGTAATAAAATATTCAGATTTGTACAATTTAATGAATATTGTTATCGCAAATATCTGCTATAAGCATTTTGGTTTTCTATCAATGTTTTGCTCCTACACAGTATAAGGTTTCTAATAGATGTAGAAACCTTGTAGAAACAACTTTTCATTTTCATTTACCAACGCATTTATCGCTAAGGCTGGCTTCTTAAACTTATCCCACATTTCCTGCATTTTTACAGATTTAAGAAACACCTCACTTTTTGGCCATCTGTTGCTTTTTGTAGCCTATATTTCTTGTCTACAAAACTTTTAATTTTTGATGAGTTTTTTTTATAAACCTAATTTCTGCCTTTGTTTACGTATATTAAGTATCGTAACTTTATTTTTTAACCAGTTATTAATCATACATCAACTTTATTTAGACATTTTGAATTTTTCTCATTTTTACGCGAGAGACTTTTGATAAATTTCAAAAATTTATTTACATCCTCGTCAAACTCAAATAGTCAGGTGATGATGTTTTTAAAGATGAGCTTCGTTTAAGTTCTTACTCACCACATTCACTCCTGTAATAAACAACGGAAAGTTAAACAGCTAATTCTAATGTGACCCGATAAAAAACATTAGACAATACTTTTACATTGTGCTTTCACGGCAGACCTTATTTGTTACAAAATCATGCACATCAAAGCCTCTAAAAGTCACTTCCTTGACTCCACCTTACTCAACGACTTTTGCATCCCGACAATTTTTTGTCAAGTTGACAAATATATATAGAAACACGTTTTTATTTCTTTAAAGTTTAACAAATTCTTATTCTTTTGAAACTGAAATATCGTTAAATTAATTATTCTATTGCATAAAGACTTCGACGATTCTGTCACTTTGTGGTGAACCTGCGTTATTTCGACCTGTTCATCATGATTGTCATCAGTGCGAGCAGTGTTGCACTGGCGGCTGAAGACCCCGTCTTTGAGAACTCGGAGAGGAATCGCATCCTTAACCATTTTGATTACGTCTTCACTGGTGTCTTCACTGTTGAGATGATTCTCAAGGTTGGCCAGTTTGTCGTAACGATCAGAATTCACAAAATAGTTGCAATATAACTTATTTCAGAACTACATGGAGATGAAATTTAATGATTCTTAAATTTTTAATATTTTTTTTACATTTTTTATGCAAATTTTGCATTTATAATTCGACTATAGACCGCATAAATATATCATAAACTGACAAACACATTTGACAAACACTGAAATCAACAATTAATTAACAAAGAGACAAAACTATATGACCTGACACACTCGCCACTGGCACACTGGCAGATCATAAATCTTGGAGTCATTTTCCACCCGGGTGCTTACTGCCGGGATCTCTGGAACATTCTCGATGCCTTGGTTGTCGTCTGTGCTCTCGTGGCTTTTGCTTTCACGTTCGTCTTCTTGCCATCATTTTGTAGTTTATCATATTTTATTATTATTATTGTTTTTATTATTAATATTAATAATAACTAATTATTATTGGTTATTGAAAGGGACAATCATCAAAATAGTAAAAAAATAATAACGTGAGTATATATATATATATATGTATATATATATATATATATATATATATATACATATACATATATATAATAACCACGAGAATGATGATAACCAATAAAGTAAGGATTAAATTTTCCAGTTAATGACTGATATTCACCCACCCAACCAATAGCGACAGTCCATCCGCTGGTAAAAATCTGAATACAATAAAGTCGTTGCGTGTTTTGAGGGTCTTGAGGCCTTTGAAGACAATAAACAGGGTTCCTAAGCTGAAGGTTGAGCATTTGCCATTCGGTCAATGAATTCGTTGTTGAATTATTCTTGTTTCTGCATTTTATAATTGCTACGATTTTTTGTTACTATTACCATTCTAAATTTAAAGTAATAAATTTATTGATTGTTAACATTTCTAAATTTAAAGTAATAAATTTATTGATTGTTAACGTTTTGTGGTTTGTAGGTTTTTTTCAACTCTTAGATGTTATCAATTGTTTAAATTTTTTTCAACATTTTTCAAAACTCATTGTTATCATCCACACTCCATCAATCACGTTCCTTCATTCCATCGTTCTTCTCATTTTCAAATGATTATTCACCATTTTATTTTCCAACGTCACCACCATCGTCACGACCAACGTCACCATCAGGCCGTGTTTGACTGCGTGGTGAACTCGTTGAAGAACGTCTTCAACATTATGATCGTCTATCTTCTCTTCCAATTCATCTTTGCTGTCATCGCAGTTCAGCTTTTCAAGGGCAGGTTCTTCTTCTGCAACGATGACTCTAAGAACACGCGGGAGACTTGCCGGTCAGTTGGCAGAATGAACACTTGATGCGTTGGCTGTTTGGGTGGAGTTGTTTGGAAATGTTTTAATGATTGGATGTAGTTGTCTGATTGGATGGAGTTTGTTTGATTGGATGGATTTGTTTGATTGGATGGATTTGTTTGATTGGATGGATTTGTTTGATTGGATGGATTTGTTTGATTGAATGGAGTTGTCTGGTTGATTGGACACAAGTTTGGATATTGGGATATTGATAAAGATTTGGATAGATTGGATAAAGATTGGAGTTGTCTGGTTGATTGAATGGAGTTGCTTGATTGATTGGATGGAGTTGTTTGACTGATTGAATAGAGTTTTTTGGATGATTTAATAAAAACGGCCCACTCACTAATAATTTTTAAATTTTTTTTTAAATTTTATGTAAAAATGTTTCAAAATAATAAAAAAAATTTTTTTTGTTTGTAAATAAATTGTTAAGGTTAAATGTAATGTACCAACAGGGGATATTATTTTGAGTACGAAATAGAAGGCAACGAACAGCCGACGATTCGCGTGGAGAAAAGAAAGTGGGACAAGAGGGAATTCCATTACGACAACGTAGCCTTTGCAATGCTTACTTTATTTGCCGTGCAGACCGGGGAGGGCTGGCCATTGTTAGTTTCGCTTTTTTATTTCCGGTCTAACTTTTATTATTATGAATCAAGCTATCGTGTATGCTAACTTTTCTGAAGAGAACTCGATAGAGGCGCTCCACAAATCTACAATGCAATCCATTCTATCTGTTTTGGTCATATATATACAACTCTCATTCAATGACCAAGATCTCATATAACTTACCAACCTGTAAAGAGTGCTGAAGAATTCCATCGAAGCGACATTCGAAGACAGGGGTCCGCAGCCAGGCTTTCGCATGGAGATGGCCATTTTCTACATCGTGTACTTCATCGTGTTTCCCTTCTTCTTCATAAACATCTTCGTTGCTCTGATCATCATCACCTTTCAAGAGCAGGGCGAGAATGAACTGATTGATCAGGAGTTAGACAAAAATCAAGTCGGTCTAAATTTCTGTTTGATTTTCTTTGTGACGTTTTGCGATTTGGCTTGTGAGAATTTGTGTTTTTAATATATTTTTTGATTATTTCAGATTCAGAACTTACTCGTTTATTTGTATTTGTATTTTCCGTTGATTGCTCAACAAGCTATGCTTAGGGCCAATAAATAGAAAATTATAGATTTATAGCTTTCATATCAGAAAAACGTTTGTTCATTTTATTGATTATAAATTTAATTCGAAGTAGGGCTAATGGTTAACTTTGTTGTTCACGAGTATAAGAAGACTGATTGAATAATTTTATTCAGTAAAACTTGAAAGTGTGGTTGGTGAACTTGCCAAATTGTAATGTTATTTAATAATCTCCATATTTTGTTGGTTTAATTTAATTTCTTACCTGTTTAAAATGAGCTACATATTTGATCAGTTTTATTTTTCAACAAAATTCGTATTCAGATATTTTTTCAATTAGTTTAAAATTTGTTATTTTAATTTTTACTATTTTAATCTGGGTTAAGAAAAATGAAATGATAACTTATTATCATTTTCATATTTACATTTTTTAACCTTGTTAAATACCTATCAAATAATTTCTTCAATTTTCGCACCCAACCAACCAACCAGCCAACCATCTAATCATCCAACCAACCATCCAATCATCCAACCAACCAATCATTCATCCAACCAACCAACCAACCAATCATTCATCCAACCAACCAACCAGCCAATCATCCAACCAACCATCAAACCAACTATCCAACCAACCAATCAACTTACCAACACAGAAACAATGCATAGACTTCGTAATAAACGCTCGGCCTGTCTGTCGGTACATGCCAAAGAACAAGGATTCCATGAAGTACATGATATGGCGGGTCGTCGTCTCAACCATCTTTGAGTACATCATCATGGTCATGATTGCCTGCAACACCATACTACTCATGATGAAGGTTCACATCGGTTATGTTTCTGTTACTTCAGACATCGAAACCGTCACTTGCGCCATCACAATCACACTCTGGTTGAAATAAAAATCTCCTTTTTCATTTTTATCTGGATTGTTTTGGACATTGTTTTTCCAATCACATCGTCATAATCACGTCATCGTTACTATGATAATCATTTTACATCCAATTCAGTACACACCACGCTCAAAAAATGCCTCATTCGAGAGTTACACGTCCATCCTGGCAGTCCTCAACATGGCCTTCACCACGGTCTTCACTGTTGAGACCGTTCTTAAAATCATCGCGTTCGGTCTCAAGGTTTGTTCGTCTGTGTGTTTTTGTGTCTGTGTTTGTGCGCGTGTCCGTGTGTTGTTATCATGTCTATGTGTGCGCGTGCGTGTGCGTCTATTATGCACATTTATTGTGTGTTTATTATTGTTATTATATTGGTTCTTACATGAACCCATATTTTTCAGTTATTTATGTGAAACTTATGAAGAATGTAAATAACTAATTGGTTATATAAACAGTTTGGCAATAATTTTTAATTTTTTTGCTGTTAATTATCCATTATATATATAAATTTAACGAAGTTGTAAAATGAAAACTTGTACGTAATTGTAATTTAACAACTTGCACGCCAGAACTACTTCAAGGACGCCTGGAACGTGTTCGACTTCGTGACCATCATCGGCAGCATCACTGACGTCCTCTACACGGAGATCTATCAGAAGATCAACGCTGTCGAGGTTCCAACCAGCCAGCCATCCTACCCACCATCTTCAATATAACTTATAATTTTCTACATGTGTGATAAATTAGCATCTTCGAACTTTTGAGAGCAGTCAATTTTTGCTTACCCATATTTAGAAACATATTATTAATGTATTAACACGTCACCATTCACCATTTGAAACATATTAATCTATCATCATCATCATTCGAAACATATTAATTTATCAACCTATCATCATCATCATCTTTGTTTGGAACATCATCATCATCATTGTAATCATCTTCTTCCTAACAAACCTCACCACGTTCAGACCCTGGGACTCTTCAACTTTGGTTTCTTGAGACTGTTCAGAGCCGCTCGACTGATCAAGTTGCTGAGACAAGGTTACACCATCAGGATACTCCTCTGGACTTTTGTTCAGTCCTTCAAAGTTCGATCTATTATATTATTCTACTAATTTTTTGCCTTGCTGGTAAAATTATTCAATGTTCATTATTCAGCTACAGAATCTATAGCTTGTCAATCGAGACTTTGAATTGCATGCACGTAATAACTAATTCAACATTTAGTTTGTAACTGCGTATTTTTGGTTGTATCAATTAGTCGGTTTTTGGTTTCCCACTTAGACTTAATTTATTGCAAATTTCATTCAAAAGATCCATGACTGAGAGATGATAAGTGGTCGAATTTTTAATTCAAATCATTTCATTCCAGGCACTCCCCTACGTCATCCTACTGATCGCCATGCTCTTCTTCATATATGCCATCATCGGCATGCAGGTTGGTTAGTCTGAAAAGTCTAAAATGAAGTGCGTGTGGCTGGGCATCTGTTCAATTTATTTTTTGTGCTTTGTTTTATTCGTCCAATGAACCTGAAATTCGTTCATGTAACAAATTTATTGCGGATATATTCTGAAATAAAACAAACACATCAAATGCTACTAACCCCAACCACCATCGACCATTTTCTATTTTAGATTTTTGGTAACATAAGACTGAAACCAGGAACGGAAATCAATCGTCACAACAACTTCCGCTCCTTTTTTGATGGAGTCATGCTTCTTTTTAGGTTATTCCTTTATTCCTTTCTTCATTCATTCATTTAACTTGTTTATTCATTCAATCGTTCATTCATTCATTCATTCATTCATTCATTCATTCATTCATTCATTCATTCATTCATTCATTCATTCATTCATTCATTCATTCATTCATTCATTCATTCATTCATTCATTCATTCATTCATTCATTCATTCATTCGTTCGTTCGTTCGTTCATTTATTCATTCATTCATTAATTTCATTCATTCATTTATCAACTCATTCGTTTCATTCATCCCTTCGTTCCATCATTCACTCATTATTTTTTTGTTTGTTGGTGCACTTCATTGAAACATTTCTGCAATAACTTGTTGTTGTTGTTGTCGTTTGTTGTTGTTGTTGTTTTCCTGTTTAATAGCACTTCAGTTCCCCAAGGGTCTTACTGCGTGCTCTGTTTCGATTCAAAAAATTTTACTTATTAATTTAGTTTCTCTTTCATTTTTTTTATTCTTGCTTCTAAGCATCATTTTTGGCTTGAAATAAGATTCTGAAGTGATAGCCCAGTCGTTTAAGGAAAATTATCAACTGATTTAAATTTTACGAGTTTGAAGTTTTCGCTTATCATGCAATCTTTTGTCTTTAGCTTTTCACATTTAAATATGTTTGAGATGGTCAGATTGTCGTTACAATGTTCACACATGGGAGACTCTGTTTTGGTTGGTTTTCTAATAAATTAAACCTTACTGAAATTTTTTTTGAAGACCTTCTTTTTTCAGATTGCAATGGAGAAACAAACTTTAATTTTTTAAATTCTTTATAAACTAGCTCACCGTTTTTAAACTGTTAATGTGCAATAAATATCTTCTTTCTTACCAACAAAATAACCAACTAACCAACCAGCCAGCTAACCAACCAGCCAACCAACCAACCCCAACCAACCAACCAGTCAATCAACCAACCAACCAGTCAACCAATCAACGAACACAGGTGTGCAACAGGTGAGAGCTGGCAGCAGATCATGTTGTCATGCATGAGCAATCAGGAATGCGATCCCATGACCAACTTCAGAGGGACCAACATGTGCGGATTGGATATCGCCATTCCTTATTTTGTGTCTTTCATTTTCCTCTGCTCCTTTCTGGTATAGTATTAAAAATTGCTCATGTAGTAACCAAATTGTCATCATTATGTATGAAATATTTTAAATAATAACCAATTTAACTGCAACAGATAATAATTTTATGTACAATATATGATTTTTACAAATTAAAAAAATTGACAAACAATCTATAAATGTTATGGTATTAGAGACTAAAAATTGAATACTCTCAAAAGATGCTCAACTTGTTCGTGGCTGTCATCATGGACAACTTCGACTACCTGACACGTGACTCGTCCATCCTGGGACCTCACCACCTGGACGAATACATCAGAGTCTGGTCCAACTATGACCCCGGCGCCGTGTACGTTCCTCAGTCTTCCCTCATCAATTAATCCCGATGAATGTTGTTGAAGTTATCGTGCTGTCAATTCGTTCCAGCTAATTTTTGAATGTACAACGTTTGAGTGTATGATTTTTAGGCTGTTGGTGGTCGGCTTGAAAGCAGCAGAGGGTTAGAACAAAAATGTGGAGTTGTACATTCATTCAATATGCGTTGTGTACGTGTTTGTGGCTACTTTTTCTACTTTTTGAAAACTTTTCCATTCATTAATTCCTCGCTACTCCACCTAGCGGCAGAATTCATTACACAGACATGTACGACATGCTGAGGAACATGGAGCCCCCAGTTGGTTTCGGCAACAAGTGTCCGTACAGGCTGGCCTACAGAGTAAGCAGACTGCTTCTATTTGCCACTTACAGTTATAAATATTACCACTAACATCGATTTTATCCAATTCATCATTTCCCTCTGCATTTCTCTGACAATGATCCACGCCACACCCCCAGAAACTCATCCGGATGAACATGCCTGTTGCTGACGACGGCACTGTCCACTTCACGACCACGTTGTTCGCTCTCATCAGGGAATCCCTCGGAATCAGGATGGGACCTGGTATGAAATATCTCGACGAAACATTTCATCGTTTTTTTACGCAAAAATAATTTTTAATTTTATTCATTTTGAATTTAAGTCGATTGTTAACACCGTTTATCAGTTAAGTAATATTTTTTCTATTTTGGAACACCAGCTGAAGAGATGGACAAGAACGATGAGGCCCTCGCCGAAACGATCCGAGTTCTCTGGCCCATCCAATCGAAGAAGATGTGCAAGCTCATGGTGCCACCGAACGAAGGCATTTTTTGTATTTACTTGTTCAATTGTTGTTTCAAATTATGAACATGCAGCTCATGAAATGCGAACGAATGACGTTTGTCATGTCAGATCCATTTATCAGGCAATCATGATGGGTGTAAATTTTCACACGATTAACTCGACAGCATATGGCATGTTTTTGACGAACTCTATTTTAATTCTTATATTAGTTATTCAATACGGAAGGTAGAACTTTGATGAAAAGGTTCTAATTCTGATTTATTACCAAGATAAATTTCAGCCAATATTGTTAATATCATCGTATCAAGTCGTACATGCATGAGATGGTATCAAGCCAAACCATTTTATCAACTTATCACCGGATAATTCATTCTAAATAAATATTTTTTTTAATTCCTTCAACTTTGAGTTAACTTTAAAAGTGTTATTTTGAGATTTTGAAATAATTTTAAAACAGAATAGAAAATAAAAAAGATTTTAAAACAATTTTATTTGAATATAATCCTACAGAGCTGACTTTTAAAAAGTTGAGTGTCGGGAAAATATACGCTGGTTTGTTGATTGCCGAGAACTGGCGGGCCAACAAGACGAACAAAACCATCCGGATGGTTGGTATATTATCACTGATCTCACCGTTGCAAACTAACAAATAGTCTCGTTAACATGCCACCCTCATTAAGTTTGATAACGCAACACAACACCATCTTACTCTGGACTTAAACTCATTATTTAATAATTAAATTAATTAATTAAATTTTAATTAATTATTATGGGCTGAGAAAGTGATTAATAAAAATTTGTTTTTTGAATAAAATATTAAAATAAATCTAAATCTGTAATGAATGAACAGCGACCGGCCTTGTTTCGTCGCTTGATCGGTTCGATGAAGACTCCACTCGGTGACGACATGATGGGTTTCGGAGGGGGTCTCGGTAGGAACACTGCCCTGTCCACGCATCAGGTCATCCCTGGACCTCTGCCTGTCCTGCCTGAATCGTTAGTCTCTGTTGGGCCTTTCCATCGAGTCTACGCTATTTTTACAATTAAATTTAAAATCAGCACAATAATTATTGGAATATCCAAGAAAAATGACATTGGTGGGAGTTTGTATTTCAACTATTTATTAAATGTTGGTCGATGGAGGAGAGGATGTGCACAAACATTTATTAAGTGATCACGTTGGTAGTTCTAATCTGATCAAATTACCTATCTACGATTTTTCTTATTGCTCCTATCTACTTACGTTAGAGTTTTTGAACACATTGATTTTGACTGCATTCAAAAATATCAAATGAGCCTGGTGATCCGCTTTAAAGAAGGCGGAAAGGAACAATGGCTCCATATTTATTCTTCTGACTTGTTGTCAAACAGAGCAAAGGGGCTCTCAAAATTCAACAGTGAGCAACATTAGCAGGACCTCATTCTTTTTGTGAAAGTTCGGCATTTTAATCAGCATCTTAGCTTCTAACCAACTTCATACTTTGTAACGTAAATGGATCATTAATACATAAATTTAATGAAAATATTAATCTGTTTCTTGACACTAGTTTTGATTTTTACAGTCGTCAAAACATTCTACCCGATTGTATTCTGTCTTCATATTTTACAACGAAACAGGAAGTCATTTATTAACTAATAGTTATCAGTTTTAGCAGAGAAATCACAACGGAGTGAACGTTTACATTCCATGCAATAGAATGAAAGTTTACATTCCATGCAGGATTGGCGTGGATGAGGCGCTGAAGACGATCGATGCCGAGGGGGACATATTCGACTTCGAAGACCAGCCGCCCGCCAACACGATCGTCGACCCGACCAGGACTGGATCGAATGGAGGGATGGTCACAGTCAAGCCGGTGGTAATATTTAGTCCCCTGACGTGCAGAAATTATTTTTTTTATCCAAAAATGTTTTATCATTGTCATAATTAATAAACTTCTCATGTAAGGCAAAAATTATCTACTTGTGATAAAATGTGAAAATTTCTATTTTGCTTTGCATTATTTATTGTTCAGAAAAAAGATCTTTCAAACATTTTAAAAATGGTGCCAAGTGAAGTAACATCGGCCTGGGTACCTGCCATCAAGAATAAGGTTCTCATTCCCATATTGAAAGGGTCAAGGAAGGACTCTCTCAGCAATTCGGTGACTGTCGTGTTTCTGCCTGGCTCTTAAATAAACGTTCATGCGCACAAAATATATTATTTTAATTACAATTACAAATATATCATTTTAATTACAATTACAGAGTGAATTGAATAATTGACATCACCATCACATATGATATTTTTTACAACTAACATCTCGATTGTGAAAAAAAATTTTTTCCTTTCTAGCAAACCACTCAGGGATTCCATCAGCAGCCCCTGGTTGGCGCTACAAATGCAGGCCACCAGCAACAACAGCACACGTTATCATTTTCAGATCAGCTACAATCGCACCCCTACCCACACGCTGCCTCTACAACTACCACTCTCAACGGCGATCGAGTCGAAACGATTCGCGTCACCGAGCTGACGACTTCATCTGCCCTCACAAAATCCATCACCAATCTTTTCAGCAACATCAACAAATCCGTCAACAGTGCCTTTGCAAGTTTATTAACAGCTGGAGGTAGTGCCACCCACCCAACAGAAGAAACCATCATTCCTCAATCTTCCTTCTATCCAGGCACTCCGATGCTTCAAGCAAACGTTCAACAGCCCTATCCCACATTTAGACCAAGTTTCAGCGTTGGTTGCTTAGAAACAGCTGGAGGTACGACAAAAATCTGTTGTTGTTTTTAAAAATTTACAAATTCAACGTACGCTATATTGTTGTCGTCTTTGAACTGTTATATAATTTTATAATTACCTGATATGCGTAGCGAAAGTTTGTAACGTATTTTGAATATTTTGTTTGAAGATGCTGCCTTCCAGCCCCAAAATCAACTTCAACCAATCATGCCTCAACAACAACCGCAACTGCTAGTTCAACCACTCCCGCAGCAACTAGAGCAACAACATCAACACCAACAACAAAATCAACAGCTGCAGCATCAACAACTACAACATCAACAAATGCAACCACAGCAACAACATCCTCAACAACGATACGACACAATACAGCCAAGTTTCAATATGTTTGCGGATCAGGTTGTTTGCCAACCACTTGAACATATGTCGCAACAGTCACAGCATCATCAACACGCATATCATAAACCAAACGACCAATACAGACTACCACCGCAACAATACGAATCTCAACTCCCGCTATACCAAACTAAATTTTTACCAACTGCCCAGCAACAACTAGCACAACAGCAGCAGCAGCAACAACAACAACAGCAGCAGCGAGAACAGCCGCTCCATCCATTTACGATCACAGCCCCAGGACCAATTCAGCAACAACATCAACAGAATGCAGAAAGTTATGCAAACATATCTCGCACCCAATTCCCAAGTGTCAGAAAGTTACCCTCCTTACCTGCCAAAAAGCCGTCATCTTTAATTTTGCCAAAGCGCAAGATAGTGATGACGACAACACCAGGAATGCAGAAACGGATGCCTCAGGTCATGACGTCACCAACAGAAATACTGGACACTCAACAACAACAACAACAACCCTACGAAGACTTTGAGGACGACCTGCCTCAAATAGATGACCTTGATCAAGGTTACGAAAATCTGACAAATGCAAATTCCAATTCATTTCATCACCGTCAATTTTCTCGCCGGCAAAACGGAGAAGCTGCATTTTTTAGAACGCAGTCGGTCATTGACGACAAATTCAGCGAGCAGGAGGAGCATGATTATCGTTTGAGACAAAGTTGGTTTTCTGCTGCCTTGCTCACAAATACTAAATCACTGCCATCAAACTCTAATCAAAAAAAGCAGCAACACTTGGAGCATTGCGCAGTGACGTCAAGTAGTGAGCTGCTGCAACAACGACGCCGACAACTACCGATCATCAGGTGGTCAAGTGCCCAGCAATTGCTGGACCGGCAACGACAACAACGACAACAACAACATCGCCAACACGCGAGGACGTTGCTGTACGAACACACTCAGCAACAATCGAAACAATACTTTTATCAAAACCAACATTACGTTCAACAACGCCGTCTTTCACAAGAGCAACAGCTGAAACAACAACAACGTTGTCACAGTTGTCTTCCACTTCATTCAGCAACATCATCGCACCATCGGCGCCCCCAAAAACGACAGACACCGATAACAAACTTTTCCCCAAACATTATTGCAGGGGACGGCACTGACTACAACGAACCTGCAGCTGATGATGCCGTAACGCCGCAACGACGACGACGAAAACGCCGAAGTTTTCATAACAGAGTTAGCAACAGTTTCGAGGAAAGAACTGAGAATTTTTCTGCACGATATTCTCAACCGCAGCCACAAAATCGTCAGCAATCAGCCACATTACCTTATCCTGCATCAACCAAATTAATTTCATCAACATCGACGTCGTTGAGACACAGGAAACAGCTGTCCACCTTTCCACAGTGGTCCTCTCTAGAAGAAAAGTCAACATACAACAAAGCATCTTGCAACAAATCTCCCAACAACAACAACAACAACAACAACACCAGGAGAAACAGATCACTGTGGAAGGCCAGAGAAGAGAGGCGCAACAAAAGGGTTAATGGCACCACTAACAACAACAACATCATCAGCAATAACAACAACATCGTCAACAACAACAACATAAAAACAAGAAATAGTAGTTATTGCATGAGGAACAATTACGCTGATGAGACGTTAAGCGATGGAGAGCAGTCGGTTGCCCCGGATGACGATGATGAAAATGATGACTTTAACGACGATGACGATGACGACGATGATGGCTTAGATTGGTGCTAAAATATCTTTGCTGCCAGATATTCTCTACACAGTGTTATCAAAATTGTTGAAAAAAAAATTTTTTAATCAAAATAACATTACGAAACTGCTCAAACATTTCTAACCGCATGTTCTTTGCGCGTGTGTCTACAATTTGCATGTGCACTGTGTATATTTTTAATATATTTTATAAAAATTAATTTGTCAATATATGAGAGGTGAATGCCTGATATTGATGATTCAATGATGCATGCCGTGTTGTGTCGTGAATCGCTTAGTTAGTCGTTCGTCAATTACTAAATAGAAGATAGATCGATCTTTGCGTAGATATTTTTTACCCCTCAAATGAATTTTTTACAACATTCACGTTCACATTTTGTTTATTTTATTGCAAATTCAACTTATCAACTCGTCTTCAACGTCTTTGAAGAAATATTTTTTAAAATTTTTCTCACCCATACAGCAAGCTTACAATGCAAATAAACGTCAGATATTCAAATTTCACAATGATGATTATAAAGATAAAGACGACAATGAATTATTTAAAAAAAAACTTTGAAAATCTATTTTTTAAATCGTTTTCACTGCAGTTCATTATTTTCAATTTAACATTTAATCTGATGAATGTCCAAAATTGTGAAAAAATTATTACGCTGAACTACATCGATAATGTGGCTGAAGCATGCATATATATTATTGGATATATATATATATATATTATTGGATATATATATATTATTGGATATATATATATATATATATATATATATATATATACAACTATTGGCAAAAACCACAGCATGTTCAGCGTTTGTTAGCTCCAATGATTTACGATCTACCGTCAGAAAAATCTAAAAATTAAATAGGAAGCTAACTTACCCGGAACATGCTGTGATTTAAATCTATAAATTGCATTTCTGACAGTTTTAATCCAATAAATAAAAATGAATAAATAAATATATAATAAAACTATATATATATATATATATATATATATATATACATATAAATATATATATATATACATATAAATATATAAATATATACATATATATATATATATATATATATATATTATTTGAATTCTACCGAATTGTTGGCATTAATCAATTTAATGCCAACAATTCGGTAGAATTCATACAATACCGTATAAAATATGGTCTGCTTCCAACATATGTATATATATATATAGCGTAGCAATATATATATATATATATATATATATATGTGTGTGTGTGTGTGTGTGTGTGTTTGTGTGTTTGTGTGTGTGTGTGTTTATTTGTTCATTATGGTGTTTATTAAAATGTTTGTATTTATTTATGTAGAACCATAATTAAACATATTTGATATCAAGCAATTTTCGTACAAAATTATACGATATATTTTTATTTATTTAATTATGTATTATTTTGTCTACTTGAGAATATTAAAATACACGACCAGGCATTCATATATTTACCTCAATCTTTCAGCATTTTAACATATCTAAAAAAATATTATGTATAACTATATAGGCATATATTAACAAATATATGTATACCTATATATTCATATTTAAAATTAAATTATGTTATATATATATATATATATATATATATATATATATAAATCTATAAAATATTTGTAATATGTATACATACATTAATCTAGAATATATATATTCCCTCACGTCCACACATTTAATTACAGAGTTGCCCAGCAGAAGGTGGTCAATAAATAGTAGTATGTTGTATGATTTATTCTGTTTTACACGTGAAAAATATTACATGTACTGACACTTTCATAGCAGTGCGGACAGTTTACCGCAAGTTTTATGATCAACCCAGACGTAGGTGATCGCCGTATTCAGACCGACCGGTATATTTATTTAATGCAACAACGTAGACGAGTGGAATGAAACGTTATTGAGCGTATTTATTTTGCTAATTGTACGTGTTAAAATTAACGATGTATAACTGACTGCATGTTATTCCATGCCAGTCTGCAACAGCCTTCCAATATATTTGAATGTTTCAAATGAAATATATACATACATGCATGTACCAGATGAAATATAGGTTATTTGTTTGTGGTGTGCCGTCCAACGCTTCTTCATTCAAACCACCTCAACAGGTCGGTCCAATTTAAAGAGAGCCAGCTACGTGTTGAACAGCAAGCGCGAATCGAAATATCATTTGTTAGCTCCTAATTACATCGGGGTTAAAACATGTTTTCCTATTTAATGAACATTGGTGCTACCTTTGAGGTGGTCTCATCTGCACCGTCGCCATGTTTCTTGGATGATGTCTGTCAAGGTTGTCAAACGTTGATTTTCCGAGGTGCCAGACTTGACCGGCTAACTTAACAGACAGACGGAAAAACAGACGACGGACAGTAAACCCAGCTATTCCCCAATAAATATACGGAGAGACAATAATAATAGGACAGACAACAGTTCAGACAACGGCACGACACATCACAGCATAGAAAATGTATTTATTTCACATGTTAGTCTATGTTCGTTTCTACATTATTTTAATAACATAGCTTTTGGCACGTTCGTTCGTTCAGTTTTGACATTAAAAAATAAATCATTTTATCGTTCGTGAATATGTAGAATGAGTAGTCATTGTTTGTTCTGTGCTGAGTTTTTTAATTATTATTCATTGACACATAACACACACGAAATAGAAAAACACATATGAACTGATATATATATATATATATATATATATATATATATATATATATATATATATATATATATGATAAATAGGATATATATAAACATATATTATGCTTTTTATTAATAATAATAAAACAGAATAATATTATAAATGTTCTGTACCGTACGCATAGTTTCTTAATTTTATTTTTCATTTCACTTTGAATTGATCAATTAGAATATTATCCGTTGTTTAATGAATTATTATAATTTGTCATCGCCAGGTTGCTCAGATCGTTTCAAATACAATCTTTCTAATGTCATATTTTTCGAGTGTAATAAAATTTTAACAAAGATTATACATTGAGATCATTACGACAAGGTTGGAGCCAGAGAACTCCACTAAATTTTCCCTTACCTCTGAACGCCACATAATCATCTATCGTTAAATTAAATTTTTGACAAATTCTTTTTTATTAAAATTATTTTTGTTTTTCACGCTTCAAAATTGGACGTTGGGTAATATTGTCTTTCGAGCGTACAACAATCAAACAAAAGAATAAATAAACTAATTGAATAAATGAATAAATATATATATTTACATATATATATCGCATATATATGTAATGTTCACATATTATACACACAACATGAATGTTTGGATTGTACTGCGTGTGTGCCTCACATAGACAATCGCGTGAGCCCATGAATATTAATGCATCAGGTATCATAGTTTAGAGGTTTGTTGTTGTGAACAAAGACTTTGTCATACATGCGGCATTTTGTTGCCAGTTTAAATGAACTTTATACTGGGAAGTAAATCAAATGTCACGAGGGCGATTTCAATCATCTAGCTAGAGTTACAAACTTGAAAAAAAGAAAATTATGCGGATTGGAGTTGAGTTAAGGAAGTTTAATTAAACAGTAAAATTTCTGAGACACAATTTTTTATAAAAATTAGTCCTTTAAGTCGTTTGAGATTTTTGATTGTTATGTAAATAACAAAATATAATAATTAATAAATGTAAATTGTTAAAACCATATGTTAGTCTTTAATTGTCTAACGACAATTTATTTTGGCATAAAAATAATTTTTTTTCAAATATATATGTGAAAAGAAAAAAATATAAATATATATATATATCACGTTAGTTTCATGCCAACTTCTGGCGATATAAAAAACTTTAGTAAAAAATATTTTCGCAAAAAAGCTTCTATTAAAATCTGTCGATGAATAAAATGTACCTGTGTATAATATCAAGCGTAGGAGGACAATTTTGTAATATCAATTTCGGCAAATCGACTGGACTGTTCATCGCCCGATCTGCCGATTGGGTCTTGTCCATTTTTGTTAGAGTCACCATCGTAGACAATTCGGACGTCTTCGAGATCGCCCTTTACCGCTTGCTCGCCTTTACCTCCCACAAAGCTCGGACCACCAATCGTCTGATGTGTTTGTGTACCATAACTAGAGTTGTCAATTTTTTGTTGGTTGTAATTATAAGGCCCATGTTGACGATCTAAAATATTTTCATTTGAAGTTCCATTTTCATTTACTATTTGTTGCTCTTGCTCAGTAACCATGGTGCTGTAGTATCTTTCTATTATTTCCGTTTTTCTCTTTCTTCTCCACATAAAAAATGCGAAAACAGATAAAACTAAGACCAGAAAAAATCCGACGACGAGACCAGCTATGAGTCCATCGTTCCTCTGCTTACCTGCTTTTGAAGAGTTCTGGTCAACATTCCAAGTTTGATCTGTTTGAAAAGAGACGATCCACTCTTTTATTAGTGATAAAAATAATATACTTAAACGTTACATTATAAAAAATTTATTTAAATTCTTTGAATATATCATCATTAATTTGATTTTCTTAAAACGTTGAAATTCATGCTTATCAAATGTTTCATTATGTAAAATGTAAACCCTCATTTTGGAATCCTCTCATATCGACAATTCTGTTGAATACTCCAGCAAAAAGATTGCCTAACTTCTTGCTGTTCGTGTCGAATCTGTACACTGAGCTGAAATGTTTCAAAATAAACTTGTTCTCGAATCTACAGTCAGTAAGAAACGCACATCCAAAATTTTCAAAATCTAAACGTTAATGTATGAAAAACAAAATCTAATGGCCTGAGATTTTACTTTTCATTCCATGTCGTGAAATAAATGATTGAATCACTAAAAAGCACTGAGGTCAAATTTGTGTTTTCAAATTTTTTGTGTAAGACCACTTCTGACTCTTTACAGATATAAATATGATTGAACGTCCAGATCACTAACATCTCCCCTTAAAAAGTTATTCAAACTTTTCAAAAAATTGATAAACATTTGATCTAATAGGAATTTAGTTAAATTTACTAACCTGAATTGATTGACAAAGACAGTCCCTTAATTGGATCTTTTGACCAGTGCATCAGTGTTTCAACATTGCTTGTGGTCTCCGTTGTAGAATCAAACGTAGTTGTTGCAGTCAAGTTATTTGGGTCGGTATCATTTGTAGGAATTTCATCTTCAAACTTTCGCTTGTATTCTGATAGACGCACTTTCTTGATGGACGATGTTCTTGAATCGAGCCAATAGAAGTCCCTTGAATTTGCAAACGATTGAAAATTTAGAAAGTATGCATGCACTGAATGCTTCAAGAAAATAAATACCAACATCGTACGGGAGTTGAGCGCGTAGATTCCACCCTTCAAGCCTTCGACGTCTTCAAATATCCAGGCCAGGTTGCCGACCAGATCGTAACCATGCAAGTGTCCGCTGTCGTCGTCGTCGTAGATCAGCGTGTGGATGTCGCTTATTAAGTCGATCTTTGTCGGTTTGATGCCTGTAATAAGTCAGGTATTTTAATTAAAACTGATTTCGATAGGAAAAATTTAATTTATGAATTTTTTTTTCTTGAAAATTTATCTTTTTATATGACATTTTTAACGCTTTTTATGAAATTTTTAACATATGAAAAATAATTCGAATGTTACTTTTCTTAATGGTCAGTACGTTGACTTCTCTTAGCCTATCGTCAACGGATTTGCTTTTGATGGTGGCCCCTGAGGAGATGTCATTATAAAAAGGCAAATCTAACTGGACGACATCTAGCCAATAGAAAGTCTTCTTTGAAGGGTCGTACGTTATGGACGATGGCTGATTGGATGATTGAAATCGTAATGACCTGATTGATAATACGTCATTGTCATCCTGCAATTCATTCCCAAGAGGAATTTGATAACCTTCTTTTGATATTGGATCGACTAATAATAAAAAGTCGTCAGACAAGAGATCTGAAATTTGAAATGTTCAATTTTAATTTACATCGAGCTCAAATCTAATCCGCTATTACAAACACATTATTTGGAAATTTTGAAAGGCCATTAATTATAAAAAGTGAAACAGTTTTAATGATGAATATTGCAGAAACCTACCCGAAACACATTCTGTGTAATGAACGAGTGAGAAGCCAGCGGAGCAAGCACATGTTGTTTCTTGGTTGGGCCTCAAGAGACAGAGTTGGCCGCACGAACTGTTGCCACCAAAATCCACACAGGGATTTAGCAGATCTAAAAAATTTATTTATATCATGCAGAGTTGAAGTTACTAACTGATATGTAAATATATTTATTCGATTTCGTTTAAATTTTAAACGTATTATTATACCGCCAGAATCACTTGACATCGGTTGCATATTGTAGCCGTATGAAACAATTTGGTTGACGTTATCGTTAATTACAGGACTGGGAAGGAAATTGAATGAGTCAGCTACTCTCTCAGCCATGCCAACAATATTCGTTCCATTGACCCACATCAGGACATCCTGCAGAGGAAAAGTAAAATTGGCGGCTTCACACATTTCATAAACACCTCGTTAAACTTTTCAACAGTTTAATTTATAATCCACGTTTAGAACAGATATTTAAAAGTTTCCTGACTCCTTAATAGAAAAATTTCCGACTACCAAAAAAATTTTGAATTTTCGCTTTATAACTTTACTTAAATACCACAATTAAATGAAAGTTATTTCAAAAAATACATTAAAAATCATTCAATGTAATAATATTTCTTAGTAAAATTACTTTGTTTATGATTTAAAACATACTAAAAGATTAAAAATTCACACAAGATGAAGCCGTGCATTTTCAGACCTAGTCAATGCACCTATACATATGGCAATACAAATTTCATCAAAAGCAAAAAAAAAATACATTGATAATGATGACGTCATCGATTTTGGTGTTCTTGTCCAGTTGTATAACTTTTTTGTGGCTATCGCAGTCCAGTGAGGTCATCCAAATTCCTGGCAGAGATTGGTCGGCTACGTACAAACTGCGTTCATGTTTGTAACATTTACATGTACTGCATGTACGTGTATATGTAATTTTTGTAAATAAAATTTTGCCCGAAGATGTTTGCCTCATAACTTTTTTGTAAATTGTTTTAAAATATTTTCGCTAGTTTGAAATTTACAATTAGTTATTTTTTTTCAACAAAATGAAAATAACAACAAATGTTACGAGAATAAACATAGCAGAATTTTTTATTATAATTGATATGGTAACATCTTTGAAGACGAAGTAAATCATCGTGAGTGTTACAAATGCACTTGTTTCAAACTCACGCGTTATTTTGTATGTCGATGGACAGACCTTTCAGACTGGCAGCGGTTAACATGAAACAAGTTTGAACTACAGTGCCATCCATGTTTGACACATACACCGTACCTTCGCTGCTCCAATACATTAACCTGAACATGTCAACATTAACAAATGCAGCAGTTACAACTTTTTTTACGAAATTTTTCGTGCAGTAGGTTATTTGTGAAATTTGAAAAACTTTCTGTCGTGCGAGCATTTAAATAAATGGCGGAATCTTTGTTGACATTGAAATTAACGATAGCACTGAAACGACTTGCAAGGAGTAATAATAAAATTATAAAACCTGAAGACTGACTAACCCACTCAGTGGATTAACTTCGATGTCCCAGGGTCTCAGCAAATTTTTGAGGAGCACCACCGGGTACCTTCCATCCAACTTACTCACTGATATCGTCCCTGCCTCCGTGTCAGTTTGGTACAAGTTGTCACCCAACCAATCCACCGAAAGTCCTAACATCGTGAAAATAAAAAAAATCTATTCTACTCTCCCGCTATTTTATTTAAAATGGATGTGAACTGCACATTGTTTAGCAGCACATTGTTTTTATCCATAGTTATTTTCGTCAGTTATAATTAGTATTTAAAATGGTGACTGTCCTTTAATGATAATTAGTATTTAAAATTCAATAGGGTGAAACCGCTTATTTTTTTCTTATTAGTTCCGACAAGTGAATTTACAGGGTTGTCGAAATCTGTGATCATTCGGTAGGTGGAGCCGCTCTCGACATCCGACACGAACAATCTGCCAGCATTTTAATTAGAGGAATGTTTTAAGCATAAAACTTAGAGTTTATTGTTATATTATTTATCATTATGGTTATATTTATGATTACCAAACCGGACTTGAAATAATTTAAAACTGGACTTTCTTTTATAATTCGTCAATGAAATTACGACAGTTTCAAATACATAACAAATGCCTGCCTGCATGTTTTAATAAAAATACTGTTATAAAATGAACTAAACACATAAACAAATGCAACAAACAAGTGAACGAACGAATGAACTTTGAACATACAAACAAACGTGCGAACGAACAAACGCATAAATAACTACCTTGACGAATAATAGTTGAAAGCAAGTGCGGAAGGTAAAGATGATTCGGGGGAAATAACACATTCTGGACTGGCGACTGAACGTAGCACGTCATACAAACATATTTGACTGTCGGTGCTGTAGATGAAGTTGGTCGCATCCGGTCTGCTGTAGACTTACGTGATGATCAAATGTTCGCATTATTTTTAACGCATCTCATAAATTTCACTATTGTCACTATTGTTAACAATAAATAAACAATATTAATCATCAAATTGCTATTTTCAATCGTAATTAATAAATTTTTATAAGTGATATAATAACAATGCCCATCAACCGCTGCTATTCTAGTAAATTCTGAAAAAAAACTTATTAACTCTGATGCAAACGAAATGCTTCTTAAATACAATACACTGTATTGGTACATGAATGATAAGTATGCATATGGATATCTATGAACGATATAAAAAGCATTGCTGCATACCAACCAACACACGTGTTGTTGTCTTCAAGCATCTTGGACCCCTCCCTGCAGATGCAGTGGTATGTTCCATTGCCATCACTCACACATATGTCGGGGCAGTTTAGCGAAGCACATGTGTCTAAAAACATTAAAATGATGAATGACATTAGTGGTAAAGACATCAACCTCAGTGATAAAGATGAATGACGCGACGATAACGAAAATGATGTCAAAAAAGGAATTTGGTAGAATAAGACCGATTGTAATAGCAACAAATTATCCATCAGAAGCATGAGAATAAATTCAACAAATTTATAGAAGTTGTCAAAAATTCTTACTATTAAAAATGTTCGCGTTTGAAAAGGCCAATATAGGAAAAAACTTGGAGTTTAACTGAAATGACGTTAAACATATTTCAGTTCCATTTACAAATCATGAATCCAATAATCTCTCGAATTTAATGATTCACGAAATCAACTTTATACAGTAAAGCACATCTTTTAGCATTTAGTCCTAAAATTATAACCAACCAAATTGTTTTGAATATATCAATATTCATGGCATCCTATAACTCGAGTCAATAAGTTTTTTGTGCTTCTATCGTCAACTCCGACCTTCGACGACTTGACAGCAAACAACATTTTTTTTAAGATTTTCAAGACAAGAGAAATTTTTAGTGAACTTTATTATAGCTACTCGTCTCAGGTTTAGAAAGTAGTAGAAATAGTAAAGATGTAAGAATGATGACAAAATCGTGCAACTCACTGAAGTCGTAGGTCGGCTGATTGTCGGGACTGATGACAACGACGTCGTACGGTACGTAGCTCTTGATAGGGTGCAGCTTAAAAGTACGAGAGGTCAGGTTGGTCAGTATGATGCACTGCAACTGATCAGTTATGAGGATAAGGCCCTGCGTCATTGAAATTTTGTCAGTGCAGTACAAATCAAAATGTAAAATAATGGTAGTTATGACGAGCATGTCATCAACTATTAACGTTGTAAATAATGAAATATGGAAATAAATTGTAATTCAAATTTAAATTCAGAAGATGAAAAATGACTTTGTAAATGGCAGCGTCGTAGAGCGCAGAGAAGAAAAAGTATGGAGACTGGATGAAGTAAGATAGCATGTTCTGCCCCGTCCTTGCATCTGCACACTGCAACAAGCTGGTCCAGCCATCCACCCAGTACAAAAGAGAATTATCGTAATCTATGGTAACTCCCTGAGGTTCGGTCAGATCTTTGCTGATGAAAACAATTCGATTGCTGCCATCCAGATTGGACCTTTCAATTTTTGGCAAGGCTCCCGAACTGCTCCAATATAAAAATCTGTTTAAGAATGGTGAGCCCTTGTTACTAAGCCGTTGTCCAATGATAATTCTTGTAATTGACAATAAATCTTTTAAAAAAACTAATTTTTATAAACATTTTTACTCAAAATCATTTCAAAAACTAATTAAATTGACCAACCCTAAATGTGGATGGACGGCTATTCCGGTGGGTTTATCAAGTTTCGTGTAAACTAGTCTTTTGTACACGTTTGCAGCGGAGGAACTGGCCACCATGATCCAGTTGTGAGAACTGTCAGTCCAATAGACAGATCCACTCATCCAGTCGACAGCGATGCTTTTCACGTTGTTCGATGTGCCCTCAAAGATGGTGGTATGCTGGCTGCTATCTAGTCGGAAGTCCGTCGTTGTCATCTGATTTCGTAAATGAATTGTTGCCATTCGGTTATTTAAATTTCTCAATTTTAACAATTTTATACGTAAAACATAAGACTAAAATTATTTAAAGTTAACGAAAGTTGTGAAAAAGCACCAACATCGAAATTAAGCTTAAAAAGGCTTTTAGACCGTAGGCCACTGAAAAACACCTCCTTCGTGTAGTAGTTGAAGTCAATACTGAGTGGTGTGTCGTTGAAGTTTGCTAGTTGCGGCAGATACGAATCGTTTGCAAAGATCCAAAGGTTCGGATCTCTCGGATCGCCTTTCTTGCTGATAACGGCTATGGAATCAGAATGCAATTTTTTCATCGTTATCAACGTCACTGTGTTGCTATCCTCTATTAAAAAATTAAAAAAAATGTACATCGTTAGTGCAAAAACAAACAAAAAACCTTTCAAGCAACTTTAATTATGAATTAGCAATCCGAATAAATAAAATAACTAAATTATAATATATAGGCAGGCACAAACCTTTAATTCCAGCAGATGTTTGGAAAACCATGAGAAAAATCACAAAAAAAGTTTTTTTACACTCCAGAAACATTTTCGTAACGATAATTGTAACAAAATATAAAAATTTATTTTAAAACTGTAGTCAGAAACGTTTAGCCTTCACTATTTCTTTAAATAACTACTAGCTTTCAAATCGTATACATAATTTAAATAAATAGACACCAATTGCTTCTTAATTAATTAATTAATTGAGTTTTAAAAAACACTTGTTAGACAACCCGGATCTTGCATTGGCATAACGTTTGAATTCTACCTCTGTAAGCGCCAGCATAAAAGCTGTTTACAACATTACGTGCATAACATCCATATAGATAAATACATCATTATATATTATATACATATTAAAATATGTCTAAACAGTTACGCTTATATATAGGTATTCATTGTGAATGTATGGTTATTCAAACCTTACATGTGATTCAAATTTAAAATGCATAGCGTAATTTTTGCTTAAATGTGCAGAACAGAAAATAAATATATAATATATTTATATTTACATATATAGTATTGTATGAATTTTGCCGAATTGTTGGCGTTAATCAATTTAAAGGTTGTTTTTTTCAATTTTCCTTATTAGAATTTTTTTTGGAAACTGTTCAATTTATTGAAAATAGAATTATTATCCAAGTTCATCATGAAAATTTAATGAAACTGTTATTATCCATATTCATCATGCAGATAGACCTTAGGCAGATACAATTCATACAATACTGTATAAAATATGGTCTCCTTTATACATTTACACACACACACACACACACACACACACACACACACACACACACATATATATAAATATATAAATATATATATTTATATATATGAATATATATGCGTTTAATTTCGTTTTAAATAGTAACCGTTTTCATGTTTTGTCTAGATAATTATATATTTAAATGCATATTTTAAAAAAGTCAGCTTTTTTTAACAAAAATTCTATTTTGTTTTCATTATAATCGATTTATTAAAGAGAAAACCTATCCACCAAGACATTACGATAGAAAGTACAACAGGACGCAAACGACGAAGAACGCGTTGCAGTGCATTGTATGCACCAGCGTTAGAAATAAATATTGTAGCCTACCTGTGTTGTTTTCAATGTCTTCACGCAATAAGCAGCTAGAAAAAAACATTGGCCAGGTGAGATATGTAGCAACAACAATCATTATATCAAATTTCGCTACTTAACGTTAGTGTGCATGTTGTGCACTAATGTGAACAAATTTTATTATTATTAATATAAATGTGGGTGTGCATATAAAAATCATATACAGTACATGGGTACGTTACCTGTCATCGCTTACACTGAACAGCCGCAAGGTGGTGCACAGTGCACTAAAATGTATTCCGTTCAAATGAGCTAACCGCTTTTATATTTTAAATGTACGTCATAAAAATGAGCATTGGTAGGAAAATTGAGAAAACATTAAACCTAAGTTAGCACATGTAAACATGATATATTTACAGAGATTGTTATGAGTATCTCTTGTTTCCATCCCCCCTTCCATGTGAAAGGAGTTCTTTTTCATCTCAGCAACCATCTTTAGAAAATTAGTGCCGGATGTTTTTCATCACTATAAAACCGATCGAGTCTTCCGTTTACTAAAGAAACCATCTCTTAATAGAAACCAGAAAGCTAACTTATCTGCTCTTTCTTAAATGCTTGAGTGCCTCATGCTCAGACTTCTCAGCCACCTAAAAGCTAAAAATAATTTCACAAAACTTCAATCAGCTAATCGCTTCTAGCTCGCTACTGAGAATGTTTTACTACACATTACAGACGTCGCTTTCGGTGAACGGGGTGATCGAAATATAGTAGTAATGCTTGGACTTGATCTAAAGACTAATAAGTTATTCTGTTCTTTTTGATCGCCTCGACATAAACTTCTTTATTAAATATATATAAAATCGTGCTAACGTCACATGTGATTCACTCAAATCATCAAATTTTGATCTCGCTCAATCTCAAATAAACTCCCATTTATAAGCTTGTATATCATACCTCCCTTGTCAACATGATCAATTCCAGAGTCTCTCAAAGTTTCGTTTTTGGCCATATCTATTTCACAGTTTAAATTTCTTTTGCCAACGATATCTTGGTTAAAATTTTGCCCACAACCACACCTCAATAGTTTGCACTAATGATATTCATAGGTGGTATCTAAATAACTTTCGTCATCATAAACCTCACAAGTCTGCCATAAACAGATTTTGAATTTTTTAAATTTCTGATGTAAACCTTCAAGGTCTGTATTGCCAATCTCAGGCTTTTATCAAATTATTTTTTTTTCGGCAATAAGGTCCTGCAATTAATACTTCCGCGCTATAATAAACATAAAGCACACTTGGTAAATGTCTATGTCTTACTCTATCATGATTTATTTACTACAGCTCTACTAGTTCCTTCTAGTGTTAAAATACAGACCGTTCAAAATAAAACTGCCAAACTAACTCATTCTCAACATACAGTCCCTCCAGTACATCTATTCGAATAGCATTCAGAATACCTATCACGTCGTCAGCATTTTATTACGGTTCAATATCCTGTCTTCATTCAATTGGTAATTATCTTCTCACTTCTATTCTACAAACTCCGTCTAAAATGTTAAAGCAACTCAGACACACTCTCGTATAACATCTTCCGCTCAATACAATTTTATCAAACACCTTTCATCCAATGATCACATTAACAGGTCATCAATCACCTTCAATTCACTAACTTAGCAAAAGACATCACATTTTCACAGGCGCTTTTTTCCAACCAACCTCTTCTTGCAACACTTTTATACCCTTCACTTAGACCCCACGTCGAACCACACTTGAGTGTGCTGCCAAATGTGTGCTGCCAAATGTTTAGAGCATGCATGGTTTCAAGTTGAAAAATGTTATTTAAGTTATATTATAACAACTGGATAAACTATCAAAAATGTCAAATAAATAAAGAAAGAAAAGCAACAGTAAAAAAAAACTATCTGGGTAGGAATCATACTATTTATAACAATTTTGATAGTTAAGTGAAATGAAAGCAAAATATTCAGAATGGCTTGGCTTAATGAATAAGCAAACACTAGTCAAAACGCAAACGAGTCAAAAAGAAAATAGCACATCCACAAATTTATTTACATTAATTTGAGTTATATTAAAACATCCTAAAATTTATATTTCTAAAATATGAGTGAGACAAAATCGAATCATTCAATGAAATGAAATCTAGAAGAGGGTCATCACGCCAGTTATTAGAAATCATAGCTAACACCACGTAAAATAAATCCAATTAACAGCGCTGGCGCTTGACGATGATGATGATGACGAAGATGAGATGAGAGATGATGAGGAGGAGGAGGATGGAAGATAATGACGGCATTTCATGATTGGTGATAATGACAGCCGATGATGAGGAATGATGAAAATAAGATGACAGGAGATAATGATGACAATTGAGAGATCATGATGACAATCGACGACGATAATAAGAGTTGATGACGAAGATAAAAGTCTACGGTCAAAGAAGTTTCAAGAAACTTCCTCTCCAAATAAAACTTCATCCTCATTGTCGTGAACATTAAATCATCGTTTCCACCCATCAGCATTAGTGATGATCGTAAATCAAGATTCCAATAAAACCTCAACACTACTAACAGTAATAACAATGGTAAAGAAAATTTCAGTAGATAATTTTCCCGAGGGAAAAGTCAATAATGTATTTACATATACATAAACGGGCAAAAGTGAACATACGTATCCAGGCAGGCATACTTGTATGTACATCGGACGTACACAGATGCATTTGCTGGGATATGTTAATCACACGTGATGCGTATATAATAATAATTTTAATGCGTATATAATAATAATAATAATAATCAAGCGCTTTCTTCATTATATTAATTCTGAAATCTACACAATTTTCAAAAAACAATCATTTAAGTTGAGAGGTTTCTGAGCTATGAAGTTGTTTGTATGCGAAGTAGCACAAAATCAACTTGTTAGTGAAGAGTTAGTTCGTTAATCCACATGTTCATCGCATTTACATTGTAATATTAATATTTGTACACATTCCATTTATCCATTACGACGATCTGTGAACATAATGCGACGAACACAGATAACTATTGCTGTGAAGACTGAAAACGTCATAGAAGACAGGCATGTTGTAAATCATTTTCAACAAATAAATTGATAGCGTAAATATGTTCATGAATAATCTATATTTATCAACTGATTAATTAATTGATCTGTCTGTAACTGTCGTCCAGTCAGTTACTAAAACATGTTGCTTCGAATTATCCAGTTATAAATATTATTTAATGAAAGTGAAAATACTTTTTTTTTTACAGAAAACATCGTTACACCGTGGCTTCGTTGATAGCCAGATTGCTGTAAAATGCTACAAACCATCTACTCAAAGGATTGTCTCTACTGAAAAATAAAACGAAATCACCCTATCAATCTTCCACTCACTCACTCAATCAATCAATCAACTATTGTCTTATTATCATAAATACATGCACGTCGTGCTTGACTGACCAACCAAATAACCACCATCCATTCACCGTTAAGCATCTAAATAATAATAATAATAATAATAATAATAATAATAATAATAATAATAATAATAATAATGTTTGTTAACCAAAATAATAACAACGATAATAATTTTAATAATAAAAATAATCTAATGTATTGTAAATAGCTAAGTAAAGTTTTGATGTATGAAAGATGGCAACAACAGCAGCAGCAACAACGGCAGCAGCTGCAGAACTAGAGTGTATGCCACTCATTGAAGCCGTGGTGAGGATAGGCCTCGACCTTGTGACTGATCTCTGAAGCGATCTGGTGGTTGATCCACAACTTCTCTATGTACCTGTATCTCTCCGCACAGAGAGCTAATGGATTGCCTCGTCTGGTATGAAGAAAAAAATTGGTGCATACTTTTATTAGATTTATAAATAACTTTTCATAGAACACACCGCAAAAACGCTATCTATATAAACATAAGCCGATATTAACATTGGAAACAACTTCCAAACTCCGGTATAGAAGCTATAATAGAAGTAAGTAAACGCCATATGTTGAGAAACACCATCTGCAAGCGTCACCCTGTACATGTACGGAACGATCTTTATGGTGCTGCTAGTGGTATAATTAACTATGAAATGTATCTTTCTACATTATAGTTCCTGGATCTAAAAATTCTTTTCACTTTAAAAATGAACTTGGTTCAATTTTACTGTCTTTTTTAATGGTACGCATTCTAATGTCTCTAGGAGTTTAATTTTCGTGAAGATGACGTATGCTCAGGGTTGGTTGAGAAGGCACGAAAAATAAAAAATGGAAATAAAAATAACAAGTGCACCAGAAATGGGAAATTGACAAAAAATTAACATAAACAAAAGAATATAAATATAAACAAAAAAATATAAATATAAACAAAAGAATATAAATATAAACAAAAACAAGAACAAACACAACGACTCCATAAAGCAGTAAAAACACTAGACAAGAGAACAATGAAGGATTGTAAAAATTTGAAATGTTGGTTGAGACCTGAGGAATTCATCCGTTTCACCATAGGCATCAAGGTACGGGGGAGACACGAAGCAGCCCTTGTTCGAGCCGTTCATCAACATCACCTGACAGTCTCTGATCCTTCAAGTACAATTTCAAGTACGATCACCATTATCAAGCATGTACAATTTTAAGTAAAACCACAATTATCATATCATACATTAAAAGTATGCTAACAAGACGAAGAAAATTTATTAAGAAATTCAAACATATAACAAATATATTATTCGCATAAACAAGAATATTTTGCAAAGCTTATAAATTGGCACAAATAATAATTATTTTAAAAACACAAAAAAATAAAATAATTAAAGAAAAAGGTCTGTAGAAAGTAAATATTGAAACTTGGCGTATTAAACAACACTTCAAAAATGTGCATATTTTTCGCGAGTTGAAGCAAGCGAGTGAGAAAGAAAACACCTTTTAGAAGACGCAATAGCAAGGAATGAGCCTGTTTGAAACAGCATAGGGGAGAAGGGTAGAGGAAAGAGTAATGAGGAATGAGACGAACCTGAGGAAGATGCCAGTGCCCGCACCACACCTGTAGGCATGTGCCACTGCAGCTCCCACCGGATCCTCCCTCGATGAGTCCAACTTCACCTGGCAGCAGTAACTCTGCGAGCAGACGACCAGACCGCAGACCAGACACATGGAGGGGTTGCGACTGTCCTCATTCGAGTTCGATTTAGGACAGCTGTAAGTCGCAGTTAGTAATTATCACCGGTCATCATCATCTTCCATTGGCAGACGACGAATTAAGTCTCATTATTTCACTATGATTTTGTGATAAGTTATATGACTCATTCAAATGTTAGTCATGAATCACATCAAACACAATTCTCAATAAACAACACTTCACTAACATTACCCCCTTCGAAAATTAAAACATAATTTGATATTTCAAAGAATTAACAATTTCTTATTACAAAGGCAGCGTAACTGACGCACCTGAAGACCGAGAACTGATTGATAAGATCGCTGTAGTTGGTTGGCAATTCAATCAATCGATTGACTTTCCGCGGGTAGACAATCTTCGTGAATGGACGATGAGATGTTGAAGGAATCGAGAGCTGTGTAACTGTGTAAGATGTTGACGCTGACGACGACGATGAAAACGATGAAGATGAGTATGACGGCGTCGATGACGACGGTAGCGAGGGGTTATGTACAGAGGTTTGTGTGCGAGATGAGGACGCGGCTGGAGCCACCGCTGCTGATGCTGTCGGCGCCGCCGCGATCGAAGTTTGATTTTCTGTCGCTGAGCTGTGGGAATCTAACATTCGTGACAACTCATTGCACCATCTGGCGTGTTTTTTGACGAATAAATGATGAAAATTATCAAAGATTTGTAAAAAATTGTAACCCACTACAAACATCACCAAACATGGCCTTTCAGTTAAATTCTTTTTGCTCTTATTACTGCGTTAATTAGCGTCATTCCGATCAAAATATTAACTAAGCCATTATCGTAGCATATCGGTAGCCTAAGTGATCTTCGTAACCCTATGCCATACAATACAATACAACACAACACAATACAACACAATACAATACAATACAACACAATACAATACAATACAATACAACACAATACAATACAATACAACACAATACAATAAAATACAATACAATACAAGCCAGTCACCGACAAATGAATCTATAAAACCCTTACCACCATATTCATCAAACAGATCTCGCGAGAATAAACAATAAATTCATGAATAATTAAATAAAAAAATTAAATAGTTAACAACAGAAGAAATAAATTTCACTCACTCCATTAGCACGTCTTGCAAGTGTTTCGATTGGTTGAACAAGGTTGCCAAGTTCGGACCTAGATCCAAGTACTCACATATCACTTTAAACTCCTCATCATTCTTCTCTGTATATTATATCATTGCCATCACCACCACCACCACCATAATCGTCGTCATCATCATCGTCACCATCATCGTCACCATCATCTTCACCATCATCGTCATTACCATAGTTATCGTCGTCATCATCATAAATATTAATTATTTTCATAGCCTGATCAGACAAAGAACAATGGCAGGCACTAAACTGTACATATCAACAACATCATAAACTCTAAATCCGAGCATCCCGACAAGAAATTGAAAAACTTTCGAAAAAAATTCAATTACAAAGTCATTAGGCTTCAAATGGTCCTAGCGTTCGAAAATAAAAAAATAACGATTAAACATGAGATTAATTGAATTTTAAGGAGGAACGACGAACCGAAAAGTTTGAGTGGAGCTGGAACGCCTGTGAGGTGGTGGAAGAAGAGAGTGGCGCACCTGAGGAAAGGTAGGCAAGAGAGCTGGATGTGCTGCAGGAGTTCGGCGGGGGTCAGTGAGCACAGGGGCAGTCTGCAGCAGTCATTTACATCAAATTCATTTATTCTTTATTGAAGATATCGCCATCAGTTCATATTTGCAAACATCGATAATTAATTTCTATTATATTACTTTGGAACAAAATATTTTGCAAAAATATTCAAGTTCGTGTTGTAAAACGCTATTTTTAGTAAGTAATTTGGCGTCAAATGAACAAAATTAGACTATCAACTTACATGTAAATAAGAAATTAATGCAATAACAACGAACAAATAATAAAAATGTTCTGAAATCATTGATTGGATGTGGCGAGGCACTCAACATTTCATCTTACAAAACTGTCTGAATAAGAAGGGAACCTCAGAAGAACCTACCCGACCATGCTCCTGAGATGCTGGCAGATCTTCATTAACTCGTCATTCTCCGACTCACTGTCAACCTCCATTTGTTTCCTTGCTGGTTAGCGATCATTTACACGCATCGATATTAATGTCACCCCAATCGCATTATAACATTCATAATATAACCGGTACACAATATATCATAACCGACCATCACTATAAATCAGCACAACGACCAGCCACCACCATCAGCACTCAAATATCACTCGCGGACCCGGCGGCTGACCAACCTGTCTCATCCTGTTGAGTTCTGGCGGGCAGATCGGCGATCATGATCTGCAGAATGTGACAGGCAAGCACCAACTTCAGAGCGTTTGATTCGTTGACGCCATTCGAAAGTACGAACGTGCTGCCCCCCGAGTCCTCCTTGTACAGCGATGGCAGGCTGTAGCAGAGGGTCACCAGGCAGTGGAAGAGCTCCATGTCGGTTATCGAAGGGGTGTTTAGATCTAGATATCTGCAGGACATCACTGCATCGGAAGGAACAAATTATTCTGATGAGGCAGCGCTTAGTCCTTGCACAAAATAGTGCCAATGACGAACGGTTGTGTTGCTATCTTTACATTAATAAACAGCCAACTTCCGCAAAAAGTAAGAGAGTTGCATGTAACAAAAAAAAACATGAAACACGATTGCGCTGAATATTGCTTAACAGGAGAGAGAATGAATAACAATAATTAAGCTGAGCAATAACAAAATAGTAAAATCGTAATAAAAGTAGTAATATGAAATAATAATTAAGCATTATCAAACATTTAAAATGTCTGGTTATCCAATCCACTCGTTAACAAAGAACTTTTTCAGTAAATGTTTATATTAGGTAGTTCATTTTTAATGTTCAAACCCGACCTGAAAGAATTCTTATACAGTGTCTTTTTATGGTACTGACAGCAAAGAGATTGGTTGTAATGGCAGCCAATCGCACGAGAGTACACAGACACTCTGCCTGTTTCGACGCCAATGAACCAAACAGAGGTTTCTCTTCATCTCGCAAGCTGTTTTCTGAAACAAATCCACGTCAGGTCATCAGAGGTCAATCAATCAATCAATCTTCGTTTAGCGTCCAGAGACCCAGTTTCCCGAGGTAGGACGTATCAGAGGTATGTATGTATATTTATATTTGAACATTCTACAACCTCTGACTAAAGTGAGACTTATGCATGCCATCAGATATCAACTATTAGATCACCTTTCTATGGAGTAACTTAAATATTCAACCAGTAACATTTACATAAATCTACCAAAAAACAAGTTTAGCCTGCAACTAATTTAGCTCTCGATGCAACATGAAGCACTGCTATCCAAGCAATATGTATTTAACATTCAAATGAGCGACAAACCAGTCAGCTGGCTAGTAACCCCACCAGCCAACTAATAAACCAACTAATCAACCAACCAACTAATCAACCAACCGGTCAACCGGTCAACAAACAAGCGAGCCGCCAAGCTAACTGCCACCAACCAATGCAGAGAATGGAGTAAGCACAAGTGTTCCACACAGATAGGGGCATTCTGTAGTCACTGTTGTATGAATAAATATCCAAGCTCATCTCAAACATGTCATCGTTGAATTTCTTGATCATCTCCACTATGCTGTCGGACAGTGCTGAGCTGAAGGTGATTAAATGATGATGATAATGATGATGGTGATGATAATTATGATGATGATGGTGAAGGCGATTAAATGATTGGATAGCAACAAATATACTGTTGTAGAGTAGATAACGGTGATGCTGAAAACTAATAAAGAGGGGAGAGCAACGAAAAAGAAAAAACTGAAAAAGTGAAAGTAGTGAAGTTGTTTTAAGGTTGTTTCAAGGACAAAATATCAACGACAACAACGACATTGAAAGATTGCACCATTGCCTTCATCACCATCAGCGCTAAGATAGCCACCACCATAAAACGCAGTCTTTATATATAGAGTATTGAGAATAGCAAGTTAGACAGTGAACAACATTACCGACCTGTTATCATCAACGATGAAGTCGAAGAGGTACTGGAACCTGGTGGCCACTCCTTCCGCCATCATCTTGGTCACTGTTGATAGTGGACACGGAACATAGAAGAAGGAGTCATCTGTTGTTATGGTGTGTGTAACAACGCGATTTTTCGTCAATTTTCGTCGATATTTTTTCAAAATTTTTCAAACTCATAGCTTTTATTAACACAGGAGCAATTTTCAAGAGATGAATACGTAAAAACAACAATCATCACAAATATTAATCATCTATTTTATGTTTGTAACAGAAGAGATATCCTAAACAAAGATGACAACAAAGGAATGATGGTGACGACAACGACGACGACGATGCCACGAAGGAACCTTTTGACGCCTTGTCCTGTTCCTGCTTGATGCTGTGGTCCACGGTCTTCAGAATGCCATCCAGCCACTCATCCAACGTCACGTCAACCTTGTTCTCGTCACTGGTGTCATCATCATCATCATCGTCATCATCATCATCATCATTATCGTCATCTTCATCCTTATCATCATCATCACAAATATTTTCCTCATAACTAAAAAATGATCCAAAGCAGTCAATCGAATTAATCAAACAGGATTTTAAATGACTTATAATGATTAAAAATTTAAAGATAACTAATTTTACTAATAACAAACAAAATAGTCAATTAAAATTTACTAAAAAGTCAAAAAAAATACCAAAATACGTTTATAAACATGAAAAGAATAACTTCCTATAACATAAATATATCATTCTATATCATATATCATTCAAAATTTTCGCTTTTTGGGTATTGTTTAAACTCAGAAATCAGCCAGCAGAATTTAACAAACGTAAATGAATAAAAGCATGAATAAAGTTGGAGGAGGCATGCAAGAGACCTTTCCCTGCTGAGCATACAGAGTGAGGGTATGATGGGCAGGACGGCGTTGGACAAGTTCTCGCACATCGGACATACGAACTCCTTCTTCGTGATGTCGTACGCGTTGTGCGACCGTATGCGATTACGACGCGCGTCTCTTTGTGCCAGGCCTTCAAAAAAACTGATAAGGAGATTTTTATTCAGTTAAAAAAAGAGGAAAATCATCGACATTATTGATAATAATGCCCATAATAGATCTAAAAAAATAAGAGCCTGTAAGCGTGAATGACCAACCGACCAACCGACCAACCAACCAACCGACCGACCAACCAACCATCCATCCAACCAACTAACCAACCGACCATTCAACCAATCGACCATCCAACCGACCATCCAACAAGCCAACCAATCAACCAACCAACTAACCAACCAACCAACCAACCAAACAACCAACCTCTTCCAGCAGTCAGCATGCATAACATGTCCACAAGTGCTCGTGTTGACTCCGAGATGTAGGTCCGCACTTGTGAAGAGGGGATTGGTGTTTGGAGCCACCTTGTAAGGCAGTGGCCTGCTGCGATCAGTCGACAATACGGTCGACCTGATGGTGTAGATCAAGCTTATGAATCAACTGTTGCATCAATCAATCAATCAATCAATCAATCAATCAATCAATCAATCAATCAATCAATCAATCAATCAATCAATCAATCAATCAATCAATCAATCAATCAATCAATCAATCAATCAATCAATCAATCAATCAATCAATCGATCAATCGATCAATCGATCAATCGATCAATCGATCAACCAACCAATCAATCAACCAACCAATCAATCAATCAACCAACCAATCAATGTATTCGATGTTCTGATTTAATGATGAGTTGAATAAAAAATTTAATAATAGCAATCGATTTGCAGCCGTGAACCAACATTTCACGACATGCTACAGAAAATTGATCTTTAAATTTTAAAAAGAGTTAATGTATTGAAAGTAAAAAAGAAGAAGGAACTTTTGTATGTAGCAGCAGTAGACCAGGGCCTTCTCGGAGGGCAGGACATCTTGATCTTCTTGACACAAGATGCACGTGTGCTTGCTGACGGTCGTGACGGTTGGCACTCGGTTGATGCCGAGAGCTACCGGGTGGTTCGTCAGCGTGTCGTCTGGCTGGCTGGGCAGGCTAATGGTGATCAGTTGAACAAGCATGTATGTCATTAATGGGGGACAAACAAATTCGTCTGTTCGTTACAATTTACATGAAAATATAAAATTAGGCTAACACGACAACGAACCTTCAAATGAAACTTACTAATATTAACAATAAGAGGAATTAGTTAATTAATAATTATATCAATTGCATTATATTATTAAATATATTTTTTTATGAAGTTAAGATTAAACAATCGATTGGCGTCCATGTTTAAAACCATAGAGACAGTGGCTACTGAATGAGACAGACCTCTCTTGTGCAACCATGTCAACATCAGCATTGCTAGCAACCATCTCAGAAGATGTACTTTCAAACAAATCCTGATTCTCCTGGTAGCAGGATGAAAGAATGACTATAAATAAAAGCTGGGAAAGCATAAATAACTTTGTAGATAAGAAATGAAGCAGTGCTTCAACAAGACAGATCTTGCCCCAAGCCATCTTACAATTGCAAACATATTAGCAAGTATTGGATGTAATTTTGAAGGAATATTTATTTTTCCACCATGCAAGATGAACGTAAAACGTGCAAAAGCGATATTTTAAACTTCTTCATGATGAGAACTGAAAGAAACCTTGATGAAGTTACGCTGCATCTTCGCCATGTGAGCCAACATTTTCTCTCTCCTCTTCTGAGCCTTCTCAGATTTCTTGGAAGCTTCGTTTGCACTTTTGATCTTCAACTGCTTCTCATCGGAAGATAATCTGGATGCCGCATCGATCCTCTGCAGGGAATTCGTCGAGTCGTCGGCAGGGTTGTCTGTTTCCATATCAGCGGAAGAATCCTTCACAGTGGACATTTCTACCAATTTCTGCGGGAGTTAATTTTTTGTCACATGCTAACGCAATTTCCAACTTAAATGTCTATTTATTGAAAATCAGTAAAAAATATCGTTCAGCAACGAACAATTCGAATTCGGTTGGCTTGGTCTCTCATGACATGATGAGATGTCCAGGCGAGTAGGAACTTCTCGAGAATGACCAGCAGACTTGGAAGAGGGGTCGTAGTTGAAGTGGACGCCTGTGCTCCCGCATCCACTAAAGAGTAAGTAACGTGTTAATGAAAATCCCCAAAGTTAATTTTGAAAAACAAAAACATGAAAAACATAAACATGAAAAACAAAAAAAAACAAAGTGGAGAGTAATAATTTAAGACATTATTTAGCCCATACCAACGAATAGCAAATGCAACATTTCGGTAACGTACCGGTCTACCAGGTTATTTAAAAAATGAAACAAAGATGATAACGAAATGAAAATAATATTGGTGGCAAACAAATGTGATAAATAATGGAAACGACCAAAAAGAAAGCTTTCAACATAAATCCACCGCGAAAAATTTGACGATATGAAGAACATAAACATATATATATATATATATATATAACATATATATATATATATATATATATATATGGATGAAAAAAAATAACGTGACAGGCTATCAAAAAAAAAAAGTTGCAATAAAAATTACGATTCGATATTAATAATCTATTAGAAGATAGAAGATGACTAACAATTGAGTGCTTTCGTCACAAACTTGAAGGACGTGTCGCCACGCTTGCGTCTTCTTGTCTCTTCTAACAGAGCCAGTTCAATTAAGTAGAGTGCCTGGCGGAAGTAAATGAATGAAAGATTATTATGATCAAATACCAAATGATGATTACAAGCTTTTCCATGTTAAGATTAACATTCCGTTACGCATCATTAACATCATCACTAGAAACACCATTACTATCGTCATCACCATGCACCAACCCTTTCCTGTTGTGACTCCGACCAGGACTTTGAATACTTGGATGTGGACCTCAGAAGAACCAGCTTGACCACGTAAACAAACACATCGCACTGCAAGAGGTTGGTGATGTCTCGGAAGATCCCAGTAAATTCGGGAAGACAATCCGGGGGAGGATTGACCGAATCCGTTTCAATGCTCTTCAACTTTCTGAACTTCTTGACATTTTCATCGGCCTAGGTGAGGTAGAAAAACTACTACATGCATTCGGTGAGCAATTTGACATTATCTGTATATACAACTGTAATCTATAATCAGATAGAATGAATAAACACAATATTAGAGGTGTACAAACTGACCCTGGCTTTGTTAGTTTTGTAGTAATGATAATAGTATGGGTTGTAGCGGTCGTAATATTCATCTTTCAGTTCGTACAGGCCCTTCCCACTCAGTCCCGTTGGCTTCCTGTTTGAGGATATGCAAAACATCGTGAAGGAAGTCATTTGTAAAATTTAAAAAGTTTTGTAATGCAAGTCTCGTAAATACATATTTTTGGGCTGAAGTATTACAAGTCCAATGAAGAAATTTAAATAGTCCAGGTTAAATTTTGAGGTTCACCAAATTAATTATTAAATAATACAAATAATTAAATACAAATAGTTAAATAAAAACATAAAATATATAAAATTTGAAAAATCGAAAAAGTTTATAAACTTGAATGTTGCAACTTCTTTAACCAGATCCTCAAAACCATCTTCCTTTTCAAACTTCATTAAAAAATCATTGAAAAATATAACCTTAACGAGGCCAGTGAACGCGAAATGATAGAAAAATAGGAATGAATTATTGTAAGAAACCATAAAACTCATACGACATTGGCAATTCATTCACAGATAAGAAGATGAAGAAGAAGAAGAAACACCACTTACTCCATCGTTGATTGTTGACAGGAGTTCACTGTGAGCCATGGACTGCATGCACAATGCATGTATAATTTCATACATTCGCACATCACTCTGACTGACATCAGACAGCAGAACATTGTACCTCTCACCTGTGTGGAATCAAGTTTCAATTTTAAAAAAGTTTAACTCTTTAAACTTAACTTAATTAGAAGAACCATTTTGAAGATATAAATTAAAACTGATACGTAGAAATAACGAGCCAAAAAATTAATTAATTAATTTCTGCAAAAATTACAGATGTTAAAAATGTTATCGACTTCAAATAAGTCCACAACAATTAACACTGAATGATAATTACTATCCATAACAATTGACATCTCTTAGTAATTGTGTTTGTTTGTAATAAATAATTCTGACTGCAATAATAAGCAGTCAATAGAATTAACACCTAGAAAAAAAATTTGTGCAATCTTTATAGTTAGGTACTATAAAGTTGAAAGAGAGCAACTAACAGATGATAATAATGAGCCAATTGAGAAATGATTCAGCCATGCTGATGATCTGCCTCATAGTTTCATCCTGTGTCGTCTCAGTATCATATTCTCTCCTGCGATCGTCCATGTATCATAAAATATTATTAATTTTTTATTCTATATAATCAATTTCGTTATTGTAAAATGCGACGTTTGTAACATCACCATCTTCTGCACCATCACCACCTTCATCCTCTACCATCCTCACCTTCGTCATCCTCACCATCACCACCCCCATCAAATGTACATCCCAACACACCTTATCCAATTAGTAAGTCCGAAAGCATAAATCAACTTAAGCATCATGTCATCGCTGGAAAATAAGGACGCTGCAATCTGGTCATTTCAAATTTAAAGAGTACTAGTAGTAGTGGTAGTAGCAGTGGTAGTAGAAGTAGTAGTGGTAGTAGCAGCGAAAGTAGTAGTGGTAGTGGTTGTCATCACACATTGAACATGCGGCTACTCACTTGCATGAACAGAACATCCTTGTCGTACATAAAAGCCCGACACTTCACATTGTAGTAATAGTGCGTCTGTCAAAATTGAATTAAGTTAGCAGTATAAAAAAACGGTAAGAGAAGGGAAGATGGGATGGAACGTTTTTGAAACAAAAAAATTAGATTTCTATGGATGTTGAAAAAGTGGAAATAAAGTTGAACATACAGTTGGACGACAGCACAAAATTAACCACGTGTATTTATATTAAAGTTATCCGAATTAATTGACTGCTCACTCAAAAAATCGAAGGCAACTGCACACATTGAAGGAATTTTAAATCGCTATAAAGAGTTTTGCCTCTAGTCAATAAAATGAAGGAAACATTGAGTGAGCATTGAGTGAACATTGGAGATGAACGTTGAGTGAAAGTTGAGTGAACATTAAGTGAACATTTGAGTGAACATCCAGTGAACATTGAGCAAATATCAAGTGAACATTGAGATGAATGCAGCAGCAGCAAACCATATTCTGTAGGGCGATACCATTCCTCTTCCACATGCCTGCATTGATCTGACTGACGAAGACAATTGTTCTCAAGCAGGGTTCAAACGATGCCTCAAATGTCAAGCCCTCATTCTGGGAATTTTTACAGACTTCACTTCAAGATTGGGTAAGAATTATGATGAAAAAAAGTTTGGAAAATGTGTGAGTGATTTATTTCATTTTTTCATTTGATTTTAAATTCATAATTATTTGATACAATATCTATTTAATAAATTCATTATCATTTATTGACAATGAATCTGAATGAATGTGTACTTTTTAGCAACAAAAAATATGCATGTGAGAGGCATGTAGGCAGTTTTTAGGTAGGGTGTCAATGAGAGGCTAAAACTTTTGCACCACAAAATATATTATATAATAGAAATAAAGAAATATTATTGCGACAAGGGCAGAGGGGAATTATGAGAAGAGAAGATGTCGCAACTAACCTCGAAAGATTCAGCCTCAGACTTGAGCAGGAGGCTGTCCAGTTGAACATCAGGGTCCTTGGCGAGGTAGAGGAGGAGGGCAACATACATGCGGGTCATTGCTTGGTGCACCGATGCCTTGTGCACTGTGAAGTCCCAGCGAGGACAGTACGTCGTGTGTCCTGCCACTGACGAATGAATGAATGAATGCAAGGATGCATTGGTGCATGATGATGAATGGATAATGAATGAAAGGATGAATTTGTGCGTGACAAATGGAGGAAAAATAATAAACGAAAAGATTGAATAAATGCATGATGCATGGACAGACGGATGGATTTTCGACGAAATAGATGGATGAAAGACAACGAATGAAAGGATGGCTCGTTGATTTCTACACGATGAATGGAAGGATGAATTGATGCTCGATAAGTGGACGGAAGGATTAAATGACTGATGTACAGTGAATGAATTGAGGAACCACTAGAAGGGCGAGAGATAGATGCATCATAATGAATTAAAAGGGTTAGGTTGCAAGGAATTAACCAAAATAAAAGTTATCCAATTTGGATTGGTAGTATTGATGGATGAATTAATTGAATAAAAGCAAGCAACAGTTTTGCATTGTTTTTTACCTAATATCAAAATGTAAAACTGATAAAACAAAATGACACCTGTGATATTCTCATAAGTGATAGGATGTGCTTCCCGCACTCTGTACTTCGCCAGGTTATCAGCCAGTATCACTATCGACATTTCTAAGACGTCTTTCTGGAAATTTAAACAAACATCTCAGTTTATCCAGGAAAATTTGCAGTTAATTAGCAGAGGGAAACATAAACAAAAAAAAAGACAAATATGAAAAAAATTTGAAAACTAACATCGGACTTGCACCAGTCGACGAATAACGAGTAGACATCCATGAGCTTCAGTTGCAGCGTGAATGCATCCTCCCACTCCATCTCGTACTCCACATGACCCTCAGTCTGCCGGCAACAACTCTGCATGTTCTGAACATTCACGTAAAATCTTCAAAAGGCTTTTGTGACACCAATCAACTTGCACACGTATACATACAAGCGATCGTTAGTCCAAGAGAGCAAGAAATTAATTTGAAAGAAGGGAGGTGCGTGACGAACCTGCATGACGGCCAGGATGGGCATGAATGATCTGAAACCCGCGATGAAACTCGCCCTCAGCTGATCAGTCCATTCGTGAGGTTCTGGACAGGACAGGAGAGCATAGCTGCAAGGAGCACGAGATGTCGCGTCATGAGTCACGCCCCATGGTGGGTGCAATGCAATTACAATCATCACGTTTGCAATCAAAATTATTACAACGATTGCGAAGTAGAAAGCAATGTTAATTCAGCTTAAAGTTCTAATCACTAAAATTCTGAAAATTAAAACAAATTTTACTGAATTCACATTACACTACATTCCTTCATGATTTGAGCACAAAATCGATATTTATGCTAACGAACACATCGGGAACAACAACAACAATAACAACAATAATAATAATAACAACAACAACAATAATAACAATAATAATAACGATAATAATAATAATGATAATAATACAGCAACAACACACATTTAGACGACATTTTCCCCGAGATCGGGGGTTGCCGTTTGGCTACCCATGATGAAACCGAAATACCCCTCGACGCCATCCACATCTGTCACTCGCCTCAGTATCACGCAACCCCGCTTTCACCCTGTTCTTCTCAACCTGCTCTCTCCATCCCAATCGCGGACGACCCCTTCCTACCACTTCTTCAACCTCGAACTCCAACGCTCGCCTAATCCCGACCCTTTCATCCCTTCTCAACACATGTCCATACCACCGCAATCTCGATCTCCTTATCAATGTCACAATGTCCTCATTCAGTCCCATCATTGACATCAGCTCTGTACTACTCCTCCTATCCTTCACTTTAACCCCACACATCATCCTCACCATAGCTCTTTCAGCCCTCTGCAGTACACTTTCCTCCTCTCTCCTCAACACCCAAGTTTCACCACCATATACCATCGCTGCTCTCACACATGCTTTATATACCCTCCTTTCCATCTTCACTGACCATTTCTTTCCACACAATACCCCACCCAGTTCCCTAAATTTCATCCATCCCACACGAACTCTAGCCGTAACTACGCTCAAACATCCTCCATCCGCGTTCAGCTTATCCCCTAAGTAAACAAAGCTTTCCACTCTTTTAATACCACCACTCAACCCCGTCCTTGCGTCCGTCCTATTAATCACACCATGAACACATTTCTTACATTTGAACGTGCCTTCCACCTTTTTCAGTGCCCCCTCACACCACTACATCTCTTATGCACCCATTTCTGACATCCTATACACAATACCGAGTTAGCCTTCACTCTCCTTTCACATACCCCACAGGGGTCTATTGTACTTATCACTCGCTCCCCACCTTCCCCACTCACCATTACCTTCGTCTTACCAATATTAACTTTTAACCCTTTCTTTTCAATAACACTTTTCCATCTGGCAAATTTTAACTGCAATTCTTCCATGCTATTAGCCATCAAGACTAAATCATCTGCATACAAAATCTCAAATAACAACCCCTCCATCATGTTTCCACACACAACATCCATCACAATTGCAAACAGAAACGGTGATAACACTGATCCTTGATGCACTCCTACCTTAACACTAAAAGCGTCCGACATCCCCCTTCCAACCCTCACTTTTGTCTTTGCCCCTTCATACAGCTGCATCACAGCTTTAACAAGTCTCTCATTCACTCCTTTCTTCCTCAACGCCCATCCAATGACCTTCCTCGGTACTCGATCAAAAGCTTTTTCTAGATCCACAAAACACATGTACAATCTTCGTTTCTTCTTTCTATAATTCTCCTGCAACATTCTCACCATGAACAACGCATCCACCGTTCCCCTACCAGGCATAAACCCACACTGCATTTCATTAACTGTCACCATATTTCTCAAACTCCTCTCAAGCACCCTCTCAACTACCTTCATTCCGTGCTCTAGAAATTTCACACCCCTATATGACCCACAATCTCTCACAATAATGATAATAATAACAATAATAATAACAACAACATAAATTCTAGATAGCATTAGAAGCAGACGCATATACACATATGAATGAATGGTTGTCAGTAGTAACCGAAGATCATAGATCATGCACTGGCTGCGCTTGAACCTCGTATAGTAGGGGTCGCTCTGATCGATCGAATTTATACCTGCAACGTGGTGTAACCCATCCACATGAAAAGCTTATGTCAGACAAGCACATCATAATGTTATATAACATAACTATGATATATAATAATAATAACGATTTAATAATAATAACAATATAATTATTTTTCCATCATATGTCAAATAATTTTAGAAACGACATATTGGTTGCATTTATTATTATTATTTATTATTATAGCATTTTTATTTATTAGATTGCAAACGAAGGCTTAAAAACTTTGTACAAAGCTGATGATTTGAATACCATTGTATCATGTTGCAGATTTGTAAAGCGCCGCATATCTCCAGCGTCAATATTTTAAGCGGCCACAATCAAATTAACAAAATACTGTTGTAAAATGAAAACCAAAGCATCGGCAACAAAAATTGTAGCGAAATGAATGACTCCTACTTCTCAACATTTGAACCTGTCTGACGAAGCACGTGCAGATGATCTGTATGAGGTCGTGCTCCTCAATGAGCATGCGAGCCTGCGTCAGATGGCAGATGTTCGGTTCGTTGGTTAGTCGGAGGTGATCAACTCGTTATACAAATTCATCATTCAAATGATTCCTCAAGTTATTAATTGAAAAATTAGAACAACAAAAATGACAACAATAAAGAAATCTACAGCAACAACCAACATCATCAAGAAATATCAAATAAAAACAGCAAAAAAACACAGAGCAACAAACAATTGATGTAACAGGCAACAACTGCAGCGTAAAATTCAATGAAGAATCTTTCCTGTGATGGGTATCGTGGGAAATGTACCTCGCTACCATATTTTTGTAACTCTTCACGCAGATCAGCATCGAGGGGGAGTTATTGAAAACAAATTTTACACTTTTTTCTACTATTTAACTTGAATATATTTTTCAAATTTAAATTTTATAAAAAAAAAATGAAACAAGCAAGATTAAGAGTTCATCTGTGGTAGCACTTAGTAAAAAATGAAAAGCAAGGGATGGCACGTTGTTAGTATGGGAATGACGATGAATGATGGTTGAGACTTGATTGATGTGTCTGTCTGTCATCATACGGCTCATCATCATATCATAATGGTTTGAAAAAAACAACCAACAGGTTAAAAAATTGTTGGCTGGAGGGAAACAGTCTGCTGCTGACTGATATCAATTACATGGGATGCGTCTGTCCCATAAGTTAAAAAACTAATCGAAATGTATCATCCGATTTAAAAACGTGATTCGCCAATCACAAAACTTCCGATTTTACTTGACCCGAAGTAAAATAAATAAGAAATGGTGAAAAGTCAAAAAAAAAAATGATGATATTACTATCAAAACGTTTGCCAAATATTTGCGAAATTCGACCGAAAACTTCAGTGAGCACATTTATCTAAGTTATTCGACAGTGTTCAAATTAGTTCAGAGCATTTTATAAATTTAACAGTGCATAGCAACATCTAACTAACTTAATAACACATCGTATATCACATCGCATATTACACACCAGTATCATCATTTCCATGATACACCAACATTATCACCCACCCATAAATTAGGCGGTATATTAGATTTGGTGGTATCTTCTGACTGGGAAAGGTATTATCTATCACAATACATCACCGTATCATCGTCATCTACCATCATACATCACCATCATCTGCCATCATATATATTTACCTCATCATTATCATATATCACAATACATCGGCATTATCATCTGTCATGATACATCAGCCTCTTCATCATCTATTATGATGCATCATCTTCTATCGTGATACATCATCCTCTTCATCATCTGTCATCATACATCAACATCATCATCCATCATCACACATCATTACCATCATCTGTTTTGATACATCATCATCATGCCAACATCATCATCTCTCATGATATACGGACATCAATCAAACATTCAAGAGGATTGGACGGACTATCACTGAATAAAACCACACATAACTTCAATCATGAAAGACCATCGACCGACCAAACAAATGAAATAGTTTCGTTTTTTTTTTAAAATATGTAAGGTGTTTTGGGCAGAGCATGAGTTTATTAGTTAAACAGGTGATAATAAAATAATAGAAAACATGGATGTAGTTAACAAACGAATAACACATGTTCAGTGTGGAGAAAATATAAAAGCAATTATCACCTCTTAAATAAATACTTTTAAAAACTCGTATTGGAAAAATATGTAGCGTCATTTATCTATGCAAGATGTTATGTTGTTCAATGAATTACTTTTAGGTGCAGTTGTTGATCTGCCAAAAAGTACAAACACACACACAAAAACTGCATCAGCAACGAACAACAACAACTAAGTAACGATGCAACAGGAGAGCAAGCAACGACATTCCAACGTAATCACAAAAACATAAGATGCACGAAAACATCAATCAACCGTAAAAGCATGAATTACAAAAAGTTACAAAAAGTTTCGTATTACATAAATTGCAAATGAAAATAGAAAACAAAAATAGTATTAAACATTAAAGAAGCTTAGTAATAGTAGAAGTAGCAGCAGCGCGAACAGCGGCAGCAGCAATAACAGCGACAACAACAGCCACAAAGATAGACAACAAAACGTATAACCAATGATGGCACAGTAAACAATTGTATGCTCTCTGAGACAACACTGATTGAGTGGTCACAGTCATCTTTGACATAACTTTGTATGATTGTATCGTACACCTATGTATGTAGTTGTATGCAAATGTACTTGTATGATGATATTGCATGGTATGCATTTTTATGTATTTTATTGCATAAGTATTTATACACTGCAAGTAGTATTCAACAAAATAAGCACAATTGCCATTTAGCAAAAATAAAATCATGAACAACCAAATTAAGGTGAAGATTCGTAACAAATTCGTGGCACATTTTAATTTTTTAACAGAAATAAAATAAGTGGCTATTCAATTTCTCAACGTTATCCTACATTAATCAATTAGAATGAATCTGCATTCAAGGTGCAGCAGTGGAAGAAATAAAACACAACACTGCATACACCTTTATTACTGTACGAGAGCAGAAGTTCATCTACTAAGCAGGACAATCAGCACAATGCTGCCTGTCTTCTTTAACATGTTTGTAGCGTGCGCATACCATACGAATAACAAAACGTCAAAAAACTATAGGCATGCAAGTATGTATGTATATATTTAGGTAGGTAGGTAGGTAGGTAGGTAGGTAGGTAGGTAGGTAGGTAGGTAGGTAGGTAGATAGGTAGGTAGGTAGGTAGGTAGGTAGGTAGGTAGGCCACAAACAAGTTAAGTATGCAAGTAGAGTCAAATGAGAAATCCGTCTTAGGTTAAAAAGTGTGCGCAGGTCTTTAAAACCTCACCACAGCTATATTATTTTTGCAGCCTAATAAAAAAGGTTAAAATTCCTGTAATGTTGACATAAAAAAAAAATTTGGTAAGGGATGGGGGATCTAATTAATATGTAAGGTGGATGTACAAATCTGCTGTGTAGATGTCTGTTCACACACAAATGATGAGCAATGAAATGACAGACTCGAGTAATGGTGTGTTGGTTGGAGTTGGGTGAAAGTGTCGTAGTAATAGAATTCGTGACCAACGTTACTCTTTAAACCTACGTTCACTTCGTTATCTACATATAGTAATGTTCCTAAACAGAAAAAAACTAAAAAGCAGTAAGGAAATTAACGAACAAGAATCAAAACAACAATGACCGTGAATTTTTTTAAATGTGTTGAAAGGTGAAACATTTTGAGAGTTGAAATGAAGTTAGTTCAACGACAATATAAATCAAGCCAATAAGCCAGTGATGCATGCAAATTATGACAACTTACCTTTGCAAAAATAACTGCAAATCTTTTTTTCAGATTCAAATTCAAAAATATTCTGCAATAGATAAAATACAACTTGTGATCAATTAAGTAAATAGATTTACTAGCATAACAGTTAAATAATTAAATCGTTAATGATTGAAGCAGAAAGAACAATTATCACAAAGCAGAAAAGTGATGCTCTGGCAAGTTGTACATGATCAGCTCATCTAGCACTACGACAATGGCTGTTTGTCATCACCACTCAATGGCACAGTTCGTATAGAGATAATTTACTGAATGGGTGCCATGGAGATTAACCCCAATGATCAGAAGTTTTACGTAGAGCCTAACTTTTCAGCCAGTGACAATTCGTGCCACCCATAGACCTTCATGTGCTTACAAGGAGTCATCAATCAATCGGCACTTCTTTGACATATTAAGCCAAAGTCCTGAGATTTGCCTAGAGGTAATATCTCAGATTCTTTCCTTTTCCAGTTTGAATGTAATCACCATTGGTAGAGTTTTGAAGGTTAGCATAGTAGATAGCAATGTTGGCGATTTGATGATGATGAGCTAATGAAATGAGCTAAGAATAATGAAAATTAAATCAGGAAAAATTGTTGCAAAAAACTAAAATAAACACCCTGTCATGAAAAGCTGTCTCGTCTGTGATCTGGCATCTGAGAAAAATAAATATAAAATTTATGATCAAAAACGTTTTTAAAAAAAAAATTTGAAAAAAATAACTGAAGAAGAGTTGGGAATACTGAAAAGCAGTCAGCTAACTTTTCCACATTTTTGTTTCATCCATAAGCGACCATTCCACCAGAGATGTGCTGCACCATTTGGTCTTTGACATTGACAGTTCAGCAAAATAAGTTCTCAAAACGCCTGTTTGAAGGATAGTTTCATACTAAATTCTTAGAAAAAAAATAATGACATAGTTTCACACGAGACAAGCACTCAATTTTACATTCAGGAAATAAACTTTACAACATCCCATAAACAATAGTCTAATAGATAAAAAACAAAATGGAAATAAAGAAATCACAAATGCATTAGATGCTGACTGTAATCATCAAAGAGAGCTTTCATCCAAGCGATGGCTCGCAAGGCAAATGACTGATGGGCCACAACGTAAGGACTCATGATGTGGACACTCAGTGGGAAGAATTCATTGATCTGGCCAACACCTGGGTGCTGTGCTGAATCCTGTGCATGCATGAATGAATGAATTAATTAATTAATGAGTAAATTAATGAGTGAATGAATGAATGAGTGAATGAATATAACAGTGCTTGTGAGTGAAGACAACAATACACATGCACCAGGCACCAACAAAAACTGACATAAAAATACAAAGTCACCATTAAAAGTATTTAAAAACATAACATTTTCAACATGATCACAAATTTCATACACATAAATTATAAATAAGTTTATAAAAAACACTTTATAAATTGTCACGCTTTATAACAGAAATAAAATTGAATTAAAGTTCACAGTTTTCATTTGATTGAAAACATTTTAACCTGCCCGGCTCATTTAACAGTATAAAACCTACTAATGCAGACCACTAATTTAAAAAAAAACAAACAATTGTTCTAGAAAACAATGGAACAAAACATGAATAACACAAAATATATTTTTTCCTGAACCAACCTCAATAACTTGTTTGACTCTTGAGCATTCCGACATGTTTCCTACCTTTACAACACATCTGCCCTAAATTGATTGGTTCATCAAAGGAACATTTCATGTTTGAAACTACTTTTGTGGTGAGGTTGCTCAAAAATGAGCTTACATTTGAATGAAACATAATGCACAGGCAGTGTATCATAACTTGCAAACTATTTATAATTAATTGAAAGATAGTGTTGATTGAGAAATGTTGCAGGAAAACATTAAAAAATGAAAGAAACAACAATAAAAAAGTTAAAATGAAAATAGCAATAAAACAATCAAAGCAGAACAATTAAAAATAGTAACTGCCGAAGTTGAATAAAAGCAAAGATAAGAGTGATGGATCAAATAAATAAACAAACGATAAAAATTTGAAATTGATACGCCATCAGATCCCGTTTAATATTATGCTAAAATCACATATTTATGATATTGTAAAAAAAAGTTAGATGGGAAATGTGGCTAACTTCTCTATCAACAGTTGTTGCAATATCGTAGGCAACATGCTTGCTGCAACTGATTGCTTGCTTCAAGGCACTGGTTACCTTTTTTAATGTCGAGAATGCTTACATTAACTATAGATGTAACATTTCACGTTAGAAGAATATCGCAAATCCTAACAATAACAACGATGATGAAGCTACCATACAAATCTTATGTACAATCTATCAAAACACAATTAAACTAACAGCTCAAACTAATAATAAATCATACACCCAAAATAATTCCTGTTAGATTTCTGTACGAATGTTTTTGTTTTTGAGGATGTATTATATAAATAAATATTAGGAGAACTGTGTGAGACAGTCAGTGAAAGGGCAGCTGACCTGGTCATACGTGTGCACCTCATCGTTGAAGAGCATCGTAATCAGTTTGTTACTCTCCATAATCGATTCATTCTCTTTTGGTTGCAAGTCATCTTCAAGGGTTATGAAATCATGTGTCATCGTCAGCATCTGCATGCAGTAGTAAGTCAAGTGGTAGAAGAGAGCTTCCAGGCGAGCCTTCATCTCTTCAGTTAAGTTCCTGCCCCCAGCACTCTGCTCGTGATTATCAGTCATTCAAAAAAAGTTTGAGTAACAGGATGTAATGTTTAGAAAATAAAACAAAACTGCAAATTATTTTTAAAAAAAAACGTTTGAATTATCAACTAAAATAATGTATGAAATAAAGAAGTTTAAATAGCTGATAGAATGGTAAACAAAATTATCACATTCATGTCATAATTTTGTGATAGATAAAACTTTATGACTTTCTTTATCGCAGTCATAATGATAGGGATCACAATCCTGACAAACTGAACATCAAAGAAATGAGATGGCCAGCAACAAGCACATCTCACACACACACACACACATACACACACACACACACACATACACACCTCATCTTTCATTGCCTTCTCTAACTCCAACTTATGCAGATCACACAAAGGGTCAGCTTTCCAGGCTTCGAGGTCACCACAATCACAGTACCCACCACCACCAGATGTAGACATCTGCAACAACAATTTAAAACTAAATATATATGAGGTGCATGTGAATGTATTTCACAAAATTTTCAAAATTTAATTATAAAAAGCTAAAAGTAGCAAAACTTATTTGGCAATTCTTAACTTTATAAATAAAAGTAGTAGAACTTATACAGCTAATCTAAACTTTATATATATTATACATATATTCATAATATATATATATATATATATATATATATATATATATATATAATATATATATCAATGTGTATGAACATACAAATGTTTGCATGCATTTACACACAAAGCACACACAAACAACCACACATACTAACATATATATACATACATACATACATTATACTAATAATAATAATAATAATAATTATACATACAACAGAATTCTATACATAATGAAGAATACATACATTATTTATATACATTAGAATTCTATACATCATAAAGAATTGTATGTCAATACAGTCAAAAGAATAAAAATAGATTTAAATTTAAATCCACAAACAAGTGCAAATAATGAAGTTTTGAAAGAAATGGGGATGAATTAAAATGAAAGATATGCTCTTCAAAAAATTTTAATTAAATTATATAAACCCATTCGACCTTATATTTATGGAGCTTGTGTGAACTATTTTGGAAGCAATCAACGCATAAAACGCATGTAGGGTCCATACCACAAGTTCTGTGAAAATTTTTTTGTTTGGTTGACATTTAAAATTTTAAATTTACAATCAAATGAATAGCATTTTTTTTTAAATTGTCTTGAGTTGCAAATGATTTTCAAAGTATTATTATACATTACAGTACACTGACCTACAAGAATAAGTTGGCTCTCCTAATTTAAAAACTTTCAGGCAAACTACCCGAGGTTCTTCCATTTTTTTCAAATCTTTGAAAACAATGTTTGGATCCCCATTGCAAATAAATTGATCAAAAACATTAAACATCAACTTCTGGCATAATCTACTTTCATGTGTCAGTTCTTGGTCATTGGGATTGCTTGACTTGAAGATGATTGGAACATATTGTTTTATATGTTGACGTAGGGCAGTTTTGAAATCGTCATTTTTCAATCCCTCTCTTAATAACTACAAAAAATTTAAAATGTTAAAGTAAGATTAAATGCATGTTACTGTAATTGTCATTCAGTGTAGTGTAGTTTGTAGAGACCTAGCTAAACAACTTATCTTTAACTTAGCTTTTTTACTATTCTAGTGAAATAAATATCAAGTTATCAAATGACAAATTATATATTTTAAAAATATCAAACAAAATATTTAAGTAAATATTAAACAGTACAAAAGAAAAAGCAAAAAGATTATAATTAATAGAATTAATAACTTATTAAGATTATTATTATTATTAAGATCAATTTAAAATTAATTAAATGGACTAGGAATGATGAAAAAAATTTTATATTTAGAAGTTAAGCAATGATAGTGTCATTTTAATAAAAATAGTTAAGTAGTAGATGAATTAGTAAATAAGTCACACATAACCACATAAACAACCATATTTATTTGGTTATCATTATAATTTTTAATTAAAAATCAATTAATTTTGGGCAAAATTTTTAAAGGTAATATGTCATTACTACATTGTTCATTATAATGATTATGAGTTATGTGTTTGTAGGGTATGGAGACAGATATTTGTTAAAAAATTGAACAATTCAATTCATGTAAGTAAATTCATGTAAGGTAAGGAAATTAAATTAAATTCTTTCAAACAAATTCATATCAAAAGAAGATGATATGAGAAAAAAAAAGAAAAAAATGCGCATTTGATTATTAAAAGAACCGACATTGCAAGATTGTTGTGAATCAAATTCTTCAACGAAACCACGAGATTCTAGTGACTCGTCCATCACTTTTTCAATTCAGGAGAAAACCTTAACAAATAAATAAAAATAATTTAATTAATGAAAAGTCATCGCAAACATAAACACATATCAATGAACGAACGTCTAACTGGTTACGAAACAAATGGCGATTCACATTCATTAGAAATTTTTTTTCGTTGGTTTTGATGGAGGTTTTTCAAACTGCCTATGTATTTTATTCCAGGACTAAATTTCTACTAAACAGACATTTGTACATCAAATTCAGTAAAATGTCTACCAAAGTTTTTTTGGTTAAATTAAACGATGTACATGTTAAATATATGTTCGGCTTCTTAAACAAAACAGCCTGTCGTGCACTTCCTATTCCAAGTAACTTCACAATAAAACGCTCGACTGTTAATCAAAACAGAGCAAAGTTGTGGAAAACTCATCGTTATCGTTTTTTAAAACAATTTTAAGTTAATTATTGATAGAATAGTTAAAAACAGATGATGAAGTTAAATATGTGTTTATTGTAGACCATGGTGAGCTTTGTTTATGGAATAAAGATGAACGTAGTAATAGTGCGTCGTTGCCTTCTACATGATTACACAAACGCACGTGCGCGCGCACACAATTTCGAACAAAAGATATATGAAAATCTCGGTCAGATCATCTGACAATGCCGTTGCTGTTAGTGCTATTGACTGACATGCTGCGACCACGATATTACGAACGTTTGCTAGCTTTTACCTTTGCATATTTGACATAGACAGAGTCGAAATCAAGTTGAACATTGAGAACAACTTGGTTTTGCATCATTGTCCCTTTTTTGAGCAAGTGGAAGCAAAATAATATATTCCGTATATTAGTCTCAGGTGAACAATGATATCGGATGCCACACACCTTGCCACATTATGCTGACATGGTTTATCTTTTAACGGATTAATATCTTTTGCTAGTCAATCATGAATAACTATTTAATAATAATTTGTAGTTGGAATGTTTTACAAATACCTTTCAAGTATTAAAGGTTACTAAAAAATTTTGTTTTCGGCTTAGTAGAAACGCGTACTCCCACAACCGTCCCCTCCAATAGATTTGCATTTGTACGAGATGTAACACAAAATACTTGAAAATGCGGTGAACAATTTTTCGCATTATGCTACCGCAACGCATGGAAGACAAACGCATGGAAGACAAACGCATGGAAGACAAACGCATGGAAGACAAACGCATGGAAGACAAACGCATGGAAGACAAACGCATGGAAGACAAACGCATGGAAGACAAACGCATGGAAGACAAACGCATGGAAGACAAACGCATGGAAGACAAACGCATGGAAGACAAACGCATGGAAGACAAACGCATGGAAGACAAACGCATGGAAGACAAACGCATGGAAGACAAACGCATGGAAGACAAACGCATGGAAGACAAACGCATGGAAGACAAACGCATGGAAGACAAACGCATGGAAGACAAACGCATGGAAGACAAACGCATGGAAGACAAACGCATGGAAGACAAACGCATGGAAGACAAACGCATGGAAGACAAACGCATGGAAGACAAACGCATGGAAGACAAACGCATGGAAGACAAACGCATGGAAGACAATTAAACATAGGAACTGAACAGCGCCTAAATTTAACGATAACCTGGGAGCTTACCTATGCACCATCCTGATAATCATTATCAAATATTTATCCGACACCTACGATTCCATGTGTAAATTTTAATGAATGTGTTGCGTCTTTGTCTGGAACTCCTGGTGGTAGCAGCAGGACTATCCATGTTTGAGACATCCCGCTCAAAAATCGTCCCCGAGCGGCTTTACAACTTTATTGAACTTTGTAAAGGCACGACACAAAACTAACCTTAACTGCTTCCGAACGAAAATGAAACAAAACCGTCATCTAATACCTCATCTCTTTAGCTGTTGCTTGTGGTCATGGGCTTAGATGCCGTGTTTCCAAATCTATGGCTTTGATAAATAAAAAACAGTGCTCAATACTGCAAATTATTTGTGTGCAAAATTTTCATTAAAAACAAAAAAATAATTTAATATCTCAAACAAAAAATAATTAAATATTTCAACCGTAACCATATAAAATGCAAAAATAATTTGAAGCAGCAATCTCATTTTGCTTGAAAAATGAAAATTCAAATAGAAAGAGAGTTCTTCAATCAATCAATCGACAGATGACGTGTGAGTAGCGCTCTTTCCAACCTCACCATCCATTCGACGCCAGGAAAGGGTGCAAACGTTCATGCGTGAGGTGAAACGCATAATGTGTGCCAATATCTAAGCGCGTGATAGCGAGGATTCTCATTGCGTTTGAACCAGGTCACCGCGTAGTTGTTTGTCCGAAGTAAAGTGGGACTGCTACACCGTTTAGTTGCAATAAGACAATAATGAAAAAGTAAAACCTAAAAAACTCAAAAAAAAAAAATATTGATGTGGAGAAGTTTCCAGCCTCTTAAAAGCTACATTATATCCTACGTTGAATGTTTATAACAAGATGAATAACTTTCTGTACAAATTTTAAAACAAATACGGAAAAATATAAAAGGTTAAATCCGAAAACGAAGGATAGCAAAAAATATGAAACCTACTTATTGCAATGCAAAATATTAACTTGATAATAACAGATATGATGGATTTAACCTAATTAAAAAAACTTGAATAAAAATAATAACATGATCAAACACCAGTTTAAACAGAACAAAAAATTCAACTGATCCAACACGTGATGTCGCATAGAGTTGCACATTTCAAACATTCAGTAGATGTATATTCTTAAATTATTTTTTAGATATTTCAATTTGTCCCATCGGTTTAAGATTTGGCGAGACCTTTGAAAAAAATTATTTGGAAAAACATTATTTGAATTAAAAAAATTTAATTAAAAAAACTAAAAATAAACAGCAATTGTGCTGGAGAAACAAAAACAACAAGCAAACAAGCCATGAAGATTGCAAGTTATTATTATGCTAAATATTATGTATATGTGAAATTAAATGGCGTACAATTAAAAAATTAAAATAATTCACCGGAAAGGAAATATAATGGAGGCAAACCTTGAAGCTGCATTCAGTCGAGTGTCTGATATCATCAACGGATACCCCATCCGCCAGTTCAACTAACGTCAGCCCGTTAACACTGTCCACATTGAAGACGCACTTGACAAATGCAAAGCAATAACGATATTATGAATAATTAACTAAAGAACATGAAATATACAAATAAATTAAAATAAATTATGTTAATTGATTAACAAACTAATTCAAAACATGTGAGATATGTTGAAAATTATTACTTTCTCAGTGATGATGACGTCCACACAATGCTTGCCAGTCAGTGGCAGGGTGCATTCATTCAGAATTTTCGGTTTTCCGTCCTTAGACATGTGCTCCATCGTGACGACGACTTTGGTGTGCTGGGCAGACACAAGATCCATGGCTCCACCCATCCCTTTCACCATCACCATCTGGCAATTTTAGGCAACAGGTGCATTGATTAGTGATATATGCCATGCTGCAAGCAAACTCATCCATCACCATCAACGTCATCATCATCATTACAAAGAAATGTAGCAAGCATGCGGTTCTATGCATATTCTTACGAACGTTTGTATTAGAGCACTATAAAAAACCGTAATAGGATCGACAACATCCTCATTGCATCATCTTCCTCACAGCACGACAACCATCACCACATCACCACACCATCACTACCTCTCTCAGCATCTCTTACTCACAGGAATCATGTAGTTGGCTAGATCTCCAAACTTGGAAACCTGGAATGCACCAAGAATTGAGATGTCGATGTGACTCCTGATGACGATGTCAAATGATTGATGCACTTCTTCAGATTATTATTTTCAATAACAGGATAACAATATTTTAATTAAACCTTTCTGCATCATACATAAATATATCAAGCTAGCCATTTACCTACAACTAATCAACAGACTGGCCATCAACAACCCATCAACAAAACAGATGATCAAGCAATCAATCAACCAACCAACCAATTGACAGATCAACCAGCTAATTAAACAACCAAACAACAAACCAACCATGAAACCAACCGACCAACCAACCCTCTAATCATAGCAAATGATTCATCACTTGAAAAGTAGCTTCCGCCCTCTGTGATGGTCACCGTCTCCTTACCGGCATTGATGAGATCGGCATCTACCTGATCTTCCGTCGGGTACTCGCCCTGAGTTGGACATCAAATCATGTCAGGTAAATGATCTTCCATATTTTTTATTTCAATTTTTAGGAATTTGACTATTTATGTTAGATAAATACAAACTTTTATTAAGAAGCCAAATCTCACAACGCAAGACATATTTAATAATTTTGTATCACGAACTTGCATCATGAATACATCAAGCCAATAATTACATTTCGCAACAATTAAACTGATATTTCGATTATAAAGTCTGCAAAGCACAAAGTTTTTAAAAATTTTAATTTAAGAGAAAGAGACATAGAAAGAGAGAAAGAGAGAGAGAAATTTAAAGTTGATCCCATAAATCAAGTGAACGATGAAAACATGAACCAACCAATCCCAGAATCCCATTTTCACTTTGAAGATGTACGGACATTCCATCTGGGATGTAGTTACTTGCCAGCATTGGCATTCCTATGCCTAGGTTGGCTAACGTGTGTGAATCGTGTTTGCTTGGCATTATTTCCAACAGCAATGTCAATCGCATGATGAGGTTTGTTAGATTTGAAGATGGAAAAGTTATGAAGAAAACACAAACGATAAGTCAAACTTGCAAATGTTAAAAATATATTAACGTTACATTAAACTTCACTGACAGAACCTTCATTTAGAATTTTTCAAATTATCTACAGTCATGTAATTTGAAATCATGTCCAGTAACAACAGCTGACACAATCTCAAGAAAAACTGAGTATGATTGAAGAAAAAGTCATACACACGTATGTACGCACGCGCGCACACACACCGCACACACATACACAAAAAATGTAGTAGGATATTCTTACCATACATTCCATCTTTGAACTCCAGTGCTGCCCTGCGGATTATTTGATCCATCACTAGTTTCCTTGATCCAGAGACGCCTGATGATGCTTTCAGCTTCTCTTTTGTTGTTCTCCTCTGGATGGTGTTCATGAAAATTTTACAAAATTTTAACTTAATCGTGTACATTTTGATGATATAACAGCATCATGTGAGACACTGAGAATGAAAATTGATTTAAACAGCGCTTCAAAAAGATAACACAGTAATAAATAATGTAACTATAAAAATGAAACTCAAAAGAAAGGTAAACATGGGGAAATAATTTCAAAATATTAAGACAATCATGAGACTTAATTATTACACATCAAAAATACAAAGTATCATTGCCATTTTATCACATATTTTACCGCACATATTCTTATTTAACTTTATGTTCCAGGGTAACCAAACAAATTGATAAAAAAATGTAATTACAAAAAAGCATTAAAGTACTTAAGTAAGGCAACCTCAATTTTCTTAGCATACAAAGCTCCTTTCAACAGCCTCTGCACATAGACTCCGGGTAGATGTATGTTCTCAGGTGGCAGAGCGCCATCTATAATCTCTTCCACCTCCACTATGCACACCTTTGCTGCTTTGGCTGCTGGAACATTAAAATTTCTTGCTGCCTTCCTGGAATGTTTCAATGACCATTACCAGAGTAACGAAGATGAACTATGAATATGGATGAATCAGGACATCTTTAGCTACTAATATTGAAATTTTAATAGAAATCAGGCAGTGTTAATCAAACGCTTTAAAAAGGTAGTCTCAAATCAAAATGTGTAAACATGGGTATAATAATAATAACAATACATAGAAAATATTAAAAAAAAAAACAAATAGAAAAGAAGCAGCAAACCTGAAAATGACATTTCCATATTTATCGGCCTTCCATCCTTTGACCAATGAAAAATCTCCTTTGATGGCCTCCTCCATTATGTAGTGGCGATTGTGGAAGACACGTTCCTGATGACGATGAAGACTTAGAAGTTTGTGATGATGATAATGATAGCGTTAATGTCAAGTGTCTTATTGCTCTGCCCATCTTTGGAAGTCATTTCAAAAATATTTTTAAACATCTGCAGTTAATGTATCAAATTCATCAAAGAGACCCAACAAGTAAGAAACATGTGAACCAACACAAAGTTTTAGATATCAGGCCAACTTATTTCATCACAATGTGTAAACAACAGCATATTAATTCAGAAAGAAAACAGTTATCACCCAAAATTCAATGTTGAAGTCAACAGGACTATTATAAGAATTAAGCATTTAGTGGAAGTATGCTTCCTTGTGTGCTTTGCTGTTTGCATTGGCAAAAATGTTTAAATTTATATACCCTAGCACCACTGCATTTCGAAATTCATTGTATTACTGTGAGTAAGCATAAAGAAAATGTAAGAAGATAATTAGATGAATTTTATTTTAAATGATTGAATTAGATACAGCTGTCTATAGAAAAAAGCTTGTAGTGTAGTATTCAACTTTCAGATGTGACGAGCTCACTTGAGGAAACAGTCATAACAATTGCAGCCTTAACAAATACATCATTTATATCATGCTGTGCATCTGCTGTATCGTCAGCCACAAAAAATATTTAATTTTATTAATTTTTAAATAATTTAATTTTATTAATCAAAAATAATTTTGTATTTGTGAAATACAACTGACAATGAAAATGAAAGAATGTTAATATGGACCTCCCTTGGTTCACTGGCGATCTCGACATCTCCATTCTTGTTGTACTTAATGGGGGCTCCGCCCTGGTGGATCAGTGTTCCATACCCAGTGGCTGTGAAGAAGGCCGGTATGCCCGCACCCCCAGCTCTCATTCTTTCTGCTAATGTTCCCTGTTCAAGTTTTCTTAAAATTATTCTGAATTTGTTGAATTTTTCAGTTTTTCTAATCAAAAATTTAAAGAAGTTAAGTTATCAGCTTTAAATAAATTTATGTTAAGGTATTGTGAAAAAAAACCAGAACTCATAAGTCATAGTATATTTTTACAAGTATTCAATTGAATTTGTGATATTTTCAGTAGAATAAAGTAAAAAAAAACCTGGGGTGTAAGTTCAACTTCAAGTTCTCCTTGCATGTATTGCCTCTCAAATTCTGTATTCTCTCCAACGTACGAGGCAATGATTCTCTTCACCTTCAATATTAACAAGCAATTTTTTAGTTTAATTTTGATTCCAATAATATTATTTGAATTATAAATAAAAATAAATGGGGTAATGATCAGAAAATACAAAGCAGTGAGGCAGTGAGGCACATAAATGGCCAAGATGAGGTGTAATAAAATAATTGGTTAAAAAAACAAAAAAAACACTGTTGGTGAAAATCACATGTGTATTTAATAAAAGATGTAGTTAAACTTAAATTTAATTTAGTTTAATTTAAATTAAATTTAGTTAAACTGTTAAAGAAACCAGGGCGGTTCCACAAAGCTTTTTTCAACTAATGTGACTCCAAACTGCTGAAGATATAACAACATTATTCAAAAAAATGACCTTTACTGCTTATACAAAGATAACATGTAATAATTTCAATCAAGAAAAAAATTAATTGAAAAATTAACTTGTTTGGTGCGAATGAGTTGACCAAGTCCAACCTCCTGCCCTTCTCCATCAACTCCGGCATTGTTACTAACTATTGTTAAGTTCTTGGCTCCATTCTTCTTCAACCCACTGATCAAATTTTCAGGAATACCACAAAGACCAAAACCTTTTAAAAATATATAGACCTTTTTTTATTGGCTATTTGTATTTGATAAAGTATTTAAAATATAATATAAAAAATGAAAGTATTGTTACAGTGTGCATGAAAAGTTGGAATACAAGAATCATCATCATAAGCCACACGGCAAATGTATATAATGTACGTATACAAATAAATTAAAGTCTTAACATTTAAAAACCAATCGATCAACAGTAATTAACATGCAAGTAAGAAATAATCAGCTGAGTTAACATAGAGAACAGCTGTTTGCTTTAATTAAATAAACTTATTTACTGTGATTATGAATTATTATAATTGAAAAACAAATAAATAATGAAGATATATAAACGGTTAAAAATAAATGTGATTTCAAATAATAAGTTACAATATAACACTCACCTCCAACGACTACAGTTGAATTGTCTTTGATGTCTTTGACAGCTTCATATGGACAATCATATAACTTGCTACTGTGGGCGAAGGAAGTTGAAAACGTACATTGCGAAACCTGCGAAACGAATTTCAAAAGATTTTATTTTAATGTTAGTAATTAATATTTATTTTTCGATTTTATAATTTCAATCAAAGTCAAATATTTAGGGAGCTACACACGTGGAATAAAAATGCGTCACGTAGCCAACCAAATGAATGAAATTAACAATGATTGAAAAACGCTCTTTATATAAAAAAGCTTAAAATATGTCAAATAAATTTTTTCCAAACTAATTCTAAAACACATAATTATTCTAAATTTTTCACTTTTAGAACGTGTTTCGCTTTAAAATATTCAGAATTTGATTTTATAATAGCATAAAAATTACGGTACGCTTTCATTTTCCACGTGTAATGATATTGGGTAGGGTGCCCGCCTGCAACTCAATGATAACTTTCATTGCTGCTATTTATAGATTATATTATATTTTTATTTATATCATTATTATATTATTATTATTATTATTTTGTTTATAGATGGCAACTACTTTACCATCCCTTGCCTATAGACTGGTAACTAACTATCATCCTTTATTCTTGCAATGACATTTGAATTTAACATTTTTAACAAAAACAGCTCCTCTTCATTTATTTATGTGCTGCACAAACGAAGGGCATTAGATTTTTCATACAACGACTTTGAAAATTATTCAAATAACTAACGCTCAGTTACGTAAGATTTTTTGAGACTTAATGCTTAAAATGTATTATTCAGCCTAACATCAAATTCGAAATTTGGCTTTAATAAGTATAAAATAAGTAACTTGAATATTCATGTAGTAAACTTAACATAATTTTGAAATAAATAGTTAATGTTCACTAGAGTCAAAATTATAATAAAAAAGCTACCATCTGAAATATTGCAAAATTAAACCAAAGACAGCTTCAAACAGAAAGTTATTAAAATGTGAACAAGTAGATATTTATTGCCTATCAAATGAAATGAACTTCACACAACATAAACTCATTGAATGTGCTGCTAGCTGGTGAATGTTGTTTGCAATGTTTTTAAATCTAAGGCAGGTTTACGAACTTCATACACTCCAAAGTTCAATATCGAGTTGAAATTCGTGTTGGATTGAAGTATTTAACTGAATGATATTTTATAACTTTCAAGAAAATATGATTATTTTCAAGGTAATTTAAACCGCCACAGAAATATTTAACATCGTAATGAACACAATTGCAACGACCCATTTGCAGATACAAATTTTGTTTTTATTATATGTATATATATATATATATATATATATATATATATATATATATGTATATACATATATATGTTGTTATCTACGGCTGATCTATATATGCATTCTTACAATCTTATCCAGAAATAAGATGTTTGTGCAAGGGTAAGAGATGATCTCATAAAACTATTTTTAGAATCAATTATGAATTTGTGATGAAATAAAAATTTATTTTGTTTTTTGTAAGTTTTGGTATTACTTTTTAACATTTTCAATTCAAATACATAATTATATATATATATATATATATATATATATATATATATATATATATATATATATATATATATATATATATAAATTAATCTTTAATAAAAATAACTGTTTCTACCAGTTAAAGGATGTGCGAAACGTTCGGTAAAGTTTGATTACGTCGTACATTCGAACAACCGAGTTGCCACGAGAAGGTAATCATTGATGTAATCATGTATGAAAGTATCGCTTATATAAATATAAATCGTTTATATAAATAAATATGTTTATATAAATATATATAGATATAAAATATTATCTCGTTTTTATATAAATATGTGTATATAAACAAATACATTTTCTGGGTAGAATTGTTTAACTTGATTACTATTTGAACATTATTGTGCTTCAGTATTTTTGAACAAATAAGTTTGAATTTGATTTCGTCGGCAAAGGTTTTAAATATTTAAAAAAGTCTGAATTTTAGAAACAATTTAATGAATCAACAACGTACACAAGAAAATCGTCCCTGAATAAAACCTATTTAAATATCAGATGATTGCGTAGTTGTTGAAGGCATCCAAAGGCAGTTTTGTGGTCTCTCAGGAAAGCAGTTTAAAAAGTATTGTATGTGCATGTGAGTGCATGGAAAGTTTAATTAAGTCAACCGTTACGATTAATTAACATTTTTCATATAAAATGGTAGTAGTAGCTAATCATTTGGCTCCCTTTTGCACGTTGAACTTGTCATTGTTGGCTTTTAATTATTTTCCATTGTCATCGGTGGTATGAATGCAGAGCTAGCAACGAACGACAACTTCCAAATCTTCTTTTCCTCGTTCACTCAAAACGTTTGAACTTGGATGAGACAGCAAGCCGATATTCGGTCGCGGTCCTTTACATCGTTATTAATGGCATGAGGTGTGCCTTTGAACATCGCCAGTAAGTCGCCATCATTAAATATTCAACGTTCTTCGTATGTCAGCACGGCGTACTACTCTGCTGATCCTATCAATATTCATGCTACATGAATGTGTCATTGAAGGTTTATTCAATTGAGTTCCATTTCCATTAGTAAAAACACTTTTATTTGTTTTCAATTATTTTTTAATATTTTTGAACAACGGATATTTTTGACACATAAATTAAATTTTCAATTAAATTCATTTAAACTGAAAGTTTCTTCATCAGCAACAAAACCATTTGAAAACGTCCTTCATGTAATAAAATGTTTCCCACTTTTTCATTTATTAATGTCGTTTCACCGAGCTAGTGTAGATTTTTTTGGGCTAACAAATGTTTGATGCTAAAGTGATTTATCGGCATGTTTTGCTTGGTTTTTGTACTTGTACTTGACTTATACTTTTGATTTAAACTGCGTATGTTTCCTTGGTGACGTTTTTAAATTTCCCAACATTACGGTATGAAAAAAATTTGTCACCTGAAAGTTGTCAGTCGTGCATGCAACACTAGCATAAGACCTGCAACACTTGCATGAGACCTGCAACACTAGCATTAGACCTGCAACACTAGCATTAGACCTGCAACACAAGCATTAGACCTGCAACACTAGCATGAGACCTGCAACACTGAGACCTGCAACACTAGAGATCTGCAACTTGCATCTTGCTCGCTAACAGGAAAACTCTACATTAAGTGCTCTAAAGGTACAAATGGTTTGTTTTGTTGTTTTTATCTTTTCCATATAATAACCATATTCACATCTACTGTAAACAACTCAATGGTTTTGTGAATAACTTTAAATCACTTAGAACCCAAAATTCCACAAATCCATGAAAAACAGTTTGCTTGGTGTTTGTTATAACTAATTTAAATGTTTTTGTTTATATATAAAATAAAATATAAAAAAATAATTTAAAATAATATTTTGAATTCCATTTTAGAACAGCAAAATCATAATAACTCAATACATCTAAAACATTTATTATCTCGATATAAAATGCAGATTTGTTCAATTTAAATAGTGTTCTCACTTCAACCAGCTGAAACGTGACTTTAGTTATTCAATTTTTATTATTTTTTCTATTTTGTAACTCAAACAGAAATTCTTTTTTCTACAAATATTAACCGTAAAAAAGTTGAGGAACGAGTTAAAAATATGAAGAAACTTCAGTTGACACCCGCTAAAAAACATCACTCGAAAAAATGTCATCCAGGAAAGAAAACAAATTATGTGGCCCTAAAATATTATCTGTTCTGAGTTTCAACTTTTTTATCTTTGTCCAGGGTTTCAACTTTTTTTTAAGAATTATAGGTCTTTCTCACACACCTCGCTATGCTTGTTGGAGTGTTTTTATTTGTAAATTCGGCTGTTTTGGTTGTTTATTTCTGGTTGATTGTTTGGCGATTGGTTGATGATTGGTTGGTAATTGATTGGTCGAAAATTGATGGGTTGTTGCATGTGCAGATTAATTCCTTTGTAGATGTAGTTGAATGTATATTTAAAAAATAGAAATAATATCATAAAATATAATTTTGAAGTTGTTTTAACGATGTGATCAATCATATTTTTTAAATTTGAGGTTGATAAATTCTTTTGTGGCAGCCTGTTATAAACAATTATTGCTCTTCCACATCATTTCATTACATTTATTTATTCTGTTTGTTTAATTTGATGAGATAAATATTCTTAAATTAAATTTTGACTTATTTGCTGATATTATTAATTAAATAATTTTGATCCAGTTTTAATAGTGATCAAATTATGTTGTTGGTGTTTTAAGGACATTTTTTTCTGAAAAATTAGAAGTACACAATAATTTGTATTTATAAATTTCTGTGGACGCTTTTTGGCTTGATGAGGAAGTTGTGGAAGTTTATGTGGCTTCACGACGCTGCGTTTTCATGCAATGAAGTTATAAATCAGAAAAAAAAATTAATTTGCATGCTGCGTGCGTGTGTGCAGTCTCAGTTCTCACTTCCGATTTATGCCTCCAACAGTTTTTTTTACAAATTCCCACGCTTGAGTTTTTGTGGAAAGAAATAAAAACTGTTTTTATATTTGACGAGTTCCGAAAATGGCTTGGCTACAAAATATTATTTTTTTTACGAATTTTTTACAATAATTAATTGCCGATATAATGTGGAAATATTTCAAATTAAAAACTTTTTTTCTATATTGCAAAATTTGTAACCGTTTATCGCAAAAATATTAAAATTTTTTAAATTATAAAATGATCGGAAGTTGCGTATGAGCAAAATCAGTTGCTCCAACAGCAATTCAAACCAACTGAATATTGAAAAGTCTCCCAAACACTTAAAATCTTTTCCTTATTTTCTAAAACCATTTCAAGGGAAGAGCTATATTAGAGTTTTTTTTTAATTCCATTTATTCACAAAAAAGTGAAAAAGTCAGCCTGGCAATAAATGCTTATCTAGGGTTGACTCCCATAAAACAAGAAATAACATAGTAAGTAATCAAAAAAAATAAAAAAAAAACACAATAACATAAATGAGTAAATAAATGTCTTTTAAATTCTTACATGTTCTTAAATTTTCATGAATAAACTTAGAAATAAAACATCGATACATTTAAACTTAAAAAATGAATAAAATTAAGAATAAAATATTAATACATTTAACTTAAACAATTCAAAAATGTTCTCAACTTTTTAAATTCTGTTAGATTATTAATTGATCTTAAATATTGTGGCAGATTATTCCATTTATAAGGTGCATAATAACAAAAGTTCCTGGATGTTATTTTATTTAAATTCATTAATGGCTTAATTATATTAGTATGGTTATTTCTGTCAATCCTGGGGTTAGCTATAAATTTAATCGTATTAATTAACATTATATCAGTTGTAGATGTTATATTGTTGATAATTTTAAATGTTAATAAATATGATTTATAGGAATTTATTTCAAAAATTGATAAAATATTATTATTATTAAATATATTGTAATCGGAGTGATTATAATCGATTTTAAATAGAAAATTAATTATCTTTTTTTGTGCGCTAAATAATTTGTTAAGTGTTGAAATGTTTGTATTACCCCATATTAGGTTACCATAGTAAAAATGACTAAAAATTAATGATTCGTAAAGTAGTATTTTAGTATTATTATTTAAAAAATTTTTAATTCTTATCATTATGCCAAAAATTATATTAATTTTTGTTAAAATTAGTTCGATGTGATCATTAAAGTTAAGTTTATTGTCGATGCATACACTCTGAAGTTTAAAGCTATCAACTTTTGTTATGCTCTGTTCATTATTTTCCTTGGTGTTCAATTTTAAAGTTATGTTATGCATAGGTTTAAAAATTTTATAAGTTATAAAAATTTCAATTTATTCTCAATCGAAATAAAAAGAAGTGTAATTATGTAATAAAGTTTTAATAGTATTTTGTTTTAATAATGATTAGATGAATATTTCACTGACGAATGTTGAATTGCCGGCTACCAACCGTCATCAGTGTGGTTTATACGATTTGAAAGCTTTTATTATTTTTTTATTGTTACCATCTAAAACAAAACGCTGAAATAAATTATTTCATTACAAAACTAATGTTAAAAAATAAAAACGGAGCAATGGTTTTGAGTAGTAGAAGTTGTATTAAAAGCAAATTAATCAACAAAGAAATTATACTTTGTATAATAAAATTTGTGTGTGTAGTTTGTGTGTGTGTGGTGTGGTGTGGTGTGTGTGGTGTGTGTGTGAGTGATTAAGATTATCAGTGTGTGTTTTCATGTGTCACTTTTTCTCATTGCTGAGATGGAATGTAGAGGTGGAAAGCAGGCGGATGATGTTGGTTGATAGACGAATGAGATGGCACTAGAAATGAGATTGAAGGTGGTTGAATGCCACAAGGCGAAGTACTTGAGTGCAGAATCATTGCCTTCCACATATTTCTTACATAATAGTGCGCTGCTCTGTTTGTGAAAATCTCAACTTTTTTTTAATCAAAAAACTCAAATGATGATGATGAGACTTGTTCGCAACTAAGAGTAATTCACAATGAAATAACATTTTCAAGTAAGAAAAGTTATCATCTAAAGTCCATTCGAGATTGTTTTGATGTTTAATATTCAGCGTCATTCAATTAGAAATCATGACATGTGAGAATTCGTTTTTATGCAATGAACAATTTCTGATATTATTTCAAGTACTTACCTATCTAATGATGTCTTGTAATCATTATAACTTTGCCTTCTAAAAATCTTCTCCATTTGTTTTACGTATTTTAAATAATTTGTCAACAATTGAGTAAATAGTTAAATTGATTACAGAAGGATACAATTTTTTTTCCACAGAACGATGACTATGATAATGAAGAAGATGATGTTGGTTAGTGTCGGTTTAAAGGAGTGGTCGGGTTGTGTAATTTTTTGAAAAAGTATCCAACATATTTAACTACATCGTTTACATTTAAATGCAGTCTTTATACACGTAAACATCGCTTTAAATAAGAAAACTGAAAATTTTTGCGATAGGGAAAAATGTTTTCATCTATTTAGGCCTTGTCATAAAAAATATTTATAGTTTTTGGCCTCCCATCGTCAAATTTTGGCCCTCCAGTCAAAATTGTCAAGATCCGTTCGTGATAATGATGGCTTTGATACTGTTGTTGTTGTTAATGATGATAAAGATGGTGTTGTTGATGATGAAGATTATATTGTTGTTGAAGATATGACCATATTGAAGATGTTAATGTGGATAATATTGATGATGTATACAGTGACGACGAAAATACGGAAGGTAAAAAGAAACCATCAACTTTGATCACGAAGACCAAGACGGTTTTAACAACAACAGTGAATTATAGCGGTGAGGTATGATTAATGAAGAAGAAAAAGAAGAAGATGATGATGATGAAGATGGGGAGAATTATTTACGTACGTGAAATAAGCAATTTGATTCATCATGCACTAAAGACCGTATTTAAAAAAGTAATCAACTGATAGCAGTCCGCAAAGCACGTTTGTTTACATGCGCAATCGTGTGTGCGTGCGCGTGTGCGTGTGCACGTGTGTGTACGTGTTTTAAATCATCAACATCATCAGTGATGTTTGAATTAATGATGAATAGAACATTGGGATCAAATCAATCGTTTCTTCTATGTTGTTGACAGCAAGACTTCCATTAAACAAAATATAGCATCCGACACCTCGCTGAAATAGCTAGTGCAAATTTAACCGACATTTATTAATGTCCAAATTGATCGCTTTGCTAAAAAATTGACTAAACAAAATAAAGAATAATTTTAAATTTCAGAAATTACATTTGGTTTGATGGACATTAATAGATAGATATGATTGGATGCACGAAAAATGCTTGATATGAAATAAGGGAGGTGAAAATAGAGAACAAACAAAAAAAGAAACACAAACATTTCCACATGTACACACTTCCGTGTTTGCTTCTCATGTCTGCAATGACATGTACGCACATCGTCTGCAATGATATCATATCCATGTCTGCAATGAGACCATGTCTGCGATGAGACCGCGTCAGCAATGAGACTATGCCTGCAATGAGACCATGTCCGCAATGAGACCATGCATGCAGCACACGCCTCGCCATGATGTGCGTCGCATGAAGTTTGCAAAGATAGATTGCCAAGGTGTTCATATTCATGTCCTCTGCTGAATCTTTGACGTGGTAACAAATTTTAAATTTTACACACACACCACACACACCACACACATACAACACACACACACACAACATAAACAAACCCACACACATATAAAATATTGATAATAAATAAATTAATTTAATTTGTGTTTTTATTATATCATTTAATTACTGAGCAAAACTAATTGCTGAACATAAGATGGCACAATAACCATGTTATAGATGGGTAGAACTGCAAGCGACGGTTAAGAGCCATATTTGAGACTGCAAGTGATGTTGATAAGCAAATCACTGATGGACGTTGTGAAATTGCCATTAAATCCATGCATTGTGAGTGCATGCATGCATTGTGAGTGCACCCGCCCACCGTGTGACTCGTATCGAGATTGTTGCTGGCTGAACGTTGCAACTCTGACGCCAAACATTGCCATTTCACGTTCTTTACAGAAAGTTTTAAATTTAATTTTGTTTGCACTGCAGTTCGGTCTGTTAATCATTTATGTATTTTTTTGATAATTCAAAGTATTTGCTTCCAACCCATGCAGCCTAAATAGCTTTTTCTTAATTGCTTACATAACTTAATAAACGATCGCATTATTTCTTATTATGGAAAAATTAATATGTATGAAAATTTAAATCATTATTGCAACTACAATACTGTAATTTTTGTAGCTGCGGCTCATGGTCCATTGTTCATTTTGAAACTTTGTTTACACAGCAGCGTTTTGTTTGGTTCCGTTCGTTCACACTTGTTTCATTCATGTGGGCAATTAAATTTTTACATAAAATAAAAAATTTATTTTAGCTACTGTTTTTATATTTATTATTATTATTATAATATTTATTTTCATATTTAAATTTTTATTTAAGATAAAATACTTTTTTCAGTTATTGCATGCAAGCAAACTAAATTTAAAACTGATTTGAATGAGGAGGTCAAATTATTTTGTTTGAACCCTCCCCGTCTCCAAGAATATTGGATAGTCCTATTTAATTGAAGAAACTGTTTATAAATATAAAAATTTATCAATGTCTGTTTTTGTCGATGTGTAGCACTTCATTTTTTGCAGAAATTATTTACTATAATCAAAATTCTGGGTTGCTGTAAGACGAGCAAATAAATCTACTGGTCTCAGTTGAATCTCTGGAGTCCTTTGCGGATCGTGGCTTGTGTGCTTCTGGTGTGAAAGAATGTTGTTTATGTTGCTGCAACAAATAAAATCGTACATCTTAATCATGACATGAATAAGAAAAGTAAAAGAAAGAAAAAATTGATGTATAGATTGGGATAAAAAACAAGAAAAGTGTAAATAATGATACGAAGCGGAAGGAAACAGCCATGCAAACATTTTACTCTGAATCGTGAGAGAACGAACTTCAGGTTAATGATTGATAGCTACTTAACAACTTAACTTTATTAATCATAACATTTATTTCCTATCGCAAAGATCAGCAAAAACTCTTATGAATACTCTTTCTCAAGCATGTAGGACTCACTATGATCCACGGCTTATGCTCCTGTGTGTTACGTGACATTTTGTTTATTCTTGTCCTGCTACGTTTAATATGTGCGTGCTATTTTTAAAACTTTATAATTTATCATAAAACATACAAAGCGCAATTTAAAGTTTCAGCATTTTTTCACAAAAAATTAAATTTTCAAAATGTAAACAACACAAAACTAAATGAAAAATTAATTCAAGTTTAATGTTTAATCACACTAGTCCAATGCAACAATAAAAACAACCACGACATACAAAAAAGAACAACTGTTTGCTTTCAACTTTAATAATGACGTCGACGATGATGGTATTAAAAACCGTTTGCTATTGGTTGACCTGTTTAGCAGAGAAGTAGAAAATGTGCGCCGATTGGTCGGTAAGTTTTTTATTTGATATAAATGGCTTCGCTCTAATTGGCTTGTTTCTCCGAGATGAATGTCTGATTGGTTGGCACTTGAGAAGGGGTCGTCAAGAGAGAAGGCAAAGCGTGGGGAGTGTAAGGGTTTTGGAGGCCCTGGTAAGTGAAAATTTACAATACATTTTAATTTGCATATTTTTCGAATTCAATTATTTACGTTAAAATGTCATTTATCTTTGAAAAAAATTGGAATGGATAATTTGCTGAGCGATGTAGTAAATTAATGAACAGGGGTCAATTAATTTGTGCAGTCGACACTAACTTAATTTTAATTCAACCGTGATTGATGACTGGCCTATGGAATTCTCAGTGATCAATTTGTATTTTTTGAACGTACTGTTATTTACGTGGTTGATGTTTAATTGAATTTCTGTTACTCCGTTAGGCTTTTCCTAGAAAAATTAAATAAAAATAAATTGTTCAACAAAACGAATATGGGTATATACATAAACAATATTCTAACCAAACATTGAATGCAGTTAGGGGCATGTATATGTATATGTACCAATGTATCAATTGAACAAAAATATTAGGTTAAAAAACATAATAATAGCTAAATTGCGTTTAAAAATGAGACATAAAATTAAAGTTGGCACCGATAGAAGTGAAAAATCTTTAATGACAGAAACAAACCATGATGACCGTCCAACAGTTATCAACAACCTGACCACCGCCCAAAGTTAAATTAGTGGACTCATCCAAGATCCACGTGACGGTTGAAGGAGGCGGTTTGCTGTTAATGTTGCAAGTTATATTGGCACTTTGTTCATTTGGGCTGAGGTAGATAGTGCTGGGACATAAAAACAATTTTGGAGGATCTGAATTTGTGTTTAAGAAGATTATTTTAATCTCATTCGCAATGGAATAATTTAGCCAGAGGCGAGATTAAGTTAGAAGCGTAGCCAAGGTTGGAGGCTTTGGACTGCAAACTTTCCAAAGAAAATTTTGATAAAAATTTGACATTTAGATCAGTCTAGCTAAAAAAAATTCTCAACATATGACTCAGTTTTTTTTGACGTGAATTATTAAAATTTAAGTTGTACAAAAACTCAGGAGTTTTTTCAGATGTTGTATACATGTACTGAAACGTTAATAGTAATCTATTTTATAAATTCAAAATCTTGTCAAAAATTCTAAATTTAATTCAATAAAAATTTATATAGTGTAAAATTTTAATTCATATTTTTTTTGTAATTTAATAATAAAGTTTTATCCAAAAATATTTCATCAAAATTATGTGCACCGGCTCTAATCTCCAAGTCAGAATCAGAAAAACTCCAAAATGATATTTTAAAAATAAAAGTATTAAAAAAGAGTTTTAAAACCGCAATTTGTATCATAATTGTGTGCATTCGTTTACTAAAAATTTCAAATTTATGCGTAATTAACAGCAATTAGGAATGTTTTTCAAGAATACAAATTCAAATAACATAATTCAACCGTGACAAAAATGAGAGCTTAAAAAATGCTCGGTTTATTTTAAAAGCACAAAGTACCGAGGAATGAATTTTTGGTGGATTAACTGTCCAACCACAAATTGTGGACGTCATTGACTACATTTTAATTTATAAAGTAGACAGAATAACACAATCTAAAACTTAAAATTTTTACCGCGGTGCTTTTAAATGAGTGTATGTCAGGCAATAGTTTGTAATTTTCATTTGCCAGAGTCGAGTTAAAAATAATTATTATTATAATAATAAAAAATCTTATTTTTAAATGTTAGTTTCAAATGATACCAAAGAAGTTGTAGCTTGAACATGGTCGTTAAGTAACACCTCAAAGTAAGAAATCATGTCTCTACCTAACAACCCATTGAGCCGTGTACGAGCGCGAACTGAACGATAGTTGGGGTTTTCAGTTAGAACAAAATGAAAATGAAAAATTTAACAATGTAGAAATAATGCCTTGATGACGTGGAATCGCGAAAAATTTTCGACTAAAACTCATTGAAAAAATGCGACCTATCTCGACGAATATTATGACGCAGTAAGTGCCTCACCAACAAACAGAGCAGTAAAATACTAAAATTTTTAATAGAGCGTGATTATCTAGCTGAATGTTACGTTCATTTAAAAAATAAAATAGGTTGGGTTAAAAATTAAATTAGCGAAAAGCCGAGGAGTGAATTTTTTTGCATCACAAATAACGCACGCACCTGTTGGGCTCAGGAAATGTGGTGTTAAATTAGACGAAAGTGTAGAAATCAGTAACAAGAAGGCATGTGGTTTATTATTTCTCTATTTTTTTCTGATGTACGGTCCTATTTTTTTTAGTGCTTTTTAAATATTTTTTTTTTCAAAAGTTAAATTAAACGTTCGTGTCAAACAGCGTAATGAAAGTACACTTTCCCTAAATGAAATAAAATAACATTAAAAAAACCTACACTGCACATCCAAGAGAGCTATGTTCTCCATGTACGTAGGATGATGATGGCGATGGTGGTGAAAAAAACTTTGTTGCTGTATGTTTTCATGTTGTTGTTCGTGTTGTGGTTGTTGTTGTTCGTTTTGTGGAAGTTCATAATGTTTGTGCTGTTGTTTGTGTTGTTGTCTGTGTTCTTGCTGGGGTAATTTTGGTTTCGATTGTTTACGAGGAAAGTGATTAATACCCGTTATTTTCTCTTCTGAAAGCGCATTATGAGAATTGTTTTTCGAATTAGTTGATGATAGGGAGAAATAGGGTGAAGATAGCGAAGATAACGATGATGATGAGGAGGAGAAGGAGGAGGAGGACGATGATGTTGATGATGACAGCGTGGATGTTGATGATGGTGACGACGACGAAGGAAAGATTACCATAGTTGCCTTGCATTTTATGCGTGAATCGTCGTGCGAGTTGTCAACTTGAAAGTTTTTGCAAACACTGTTGTTTGATATTTATTATTATTTAGATCAATCGACATTTTAATTATGAATTGGTCAATTCAAGATTTGCGTACTTTTTCACTTATTTGGACGTGTTTGAACACAAATTTTAATTGTTGCAAGTAAAAATTTAATTTAAAATACAGAAATGCAATGCCAACTTGCCTACCGACCTCTCAGTTTTGTACGTCACGGACTTCATGCCTTTCTCTCCTAGGAGTACTAAGCTTGAACTGACAGAAAAGTTTTTCGTTATTTCGTCGTTGCCAAGGAAAACCTTTGGAGAAAAAAATTAATGATAATTATTTTAAAGCAAACAAACACCGTTATAAAGGCTACGTGTTAACTTGGTTATACAGACAGACACACAACTGTGCGGCACATCCATTCCAGGCGCCAGCCGAGTTGACACAACAACTTCATATCGTACAACCAAATCGCATTACACAAACGAACCTACGGCAATCAAATACGAATAAATTAATTCACTTCTGACAATATGTACCAGTATAAATCAAAAATAATGAATGCATTTGCAAGTGAATGAACGAACAACCCAATTCATACTTTAGATCGGTTGGGTAAATTGCGGCACGAAGGACGGGGCAGCCCCTTTCATGCGGCCCACAAACATTTTTCAGAATCAGTTTCACGTTTAGGAAAAATAATTTTTACATTTCTTTCAAAATTTAATTTTAAGTAATCCATTAGAACTCAAGGTATCAGAAGCATTGGGACAGAGCACTGTTTTCAACATTTATAATTTCTTGCCGGAGTTCATTTGAAAAGCTTGGTTGTCAAACATTTCCAGATATTTTGTTTCTTATATTTTTTATGAATAAACATTTCTTTGCTTCAATATAAATAAATGTAAAGGTAGGTCAACGCTGAATTGAATTTATTTTGAAAGCTTTAAATGAGAATAGCAGTCTCATCACAATCTACAATCTACATACATTCGTACGGGTATATTTGTCCTTTCATAGGCTTACTTTTTATTTTATAAACATTTGTACAAAAACATTCGTAAAACACGTAGATGTAGTGTAAGTCTTAGAATTTTGCGCGGACAGCAACCGAACCAGGTTGGCGTGCTATAAAGACGCAAGACACGGTACTATTGAAACATCTTACCGCCTGATCTTATTCACAATTCATTGCATGTTGTTTTTGTCGACCGATAAAATATTGTAGGGGATTTTGCACTGTCAAGCTAAATTAACCGAAATCCGGCCTGCCAATGAAGAGCAATTTCTTCGCTACTCATTATTTATATTGATTGTAATGCAAAATGCCTAACATGATTTGTTTTGTTATCTAAACAAAATTAACATCGTTAAAATATTTTAATTTTATACCCCAATGAATCAAAGTAAGTAATTCTGATATTTCCGCCAATTTTTATACAAGCATTTCAGTTTTATAAACAGAAACACCCATAATGAAGCTACTTATAAGACTGTTTGGGAATGCAAAGACACAAATATAATGAACGTATCACAAATACAAATCACAAGTGTGCCTTCCACAAACAAATACAAAACACACGTGTGCATTCCTGTGAAACACAGCATCATTTGTTGAAATCATTATGAAATTATTCATGCGTTTGAACCAGTGCATTTTACAAAGTGACTCAAAATATGGCACTTCTACCGTCTAGGCCAACTTGACAGCTTTGTTTTAAAAATTACACACATTTTTTTTTCTCAGACACCTAAATTATAACTCCGCCAGAACCATTAAGCCGGGAACGCACATAAATAAAAAGGTGTCATCAAATAAATATTTTTTACTTAAAAAGGTTTCAAAACCGTTAATAAATTTACATTTGAAAAGCACACAACTAGTTCTACATAAACAACATTTGGATACGCGATTTCAACCTGTAACTAACTAAAGGTTTCTTCAAACGTCTTTTTATTAATGCACACTAACTGCGAGTAACACACGCACGCACGCACACACACACACACACACACTTGTCCATGGTTGGTTCGACAGGGGAAATCTTGTGATGGCTGGAAGTCGTCAGGTCAAACTTTATTCACACACTTTTTAAGAGCAGAATATCAGTACAGTATTTTGACGTTTATCAATTTCAAATAATTTATTGTTCTAGTTGCAATATATCTTGTCACATTGCTAATAAGTAGGCCTAACAGGAAATATTATTTTGCAGTCAAAAGAGTAGATGTTAACTGGTCGAACTTGCAATAACAGACGGGGCATAAATAATTTCACTTGAATGGTAATCTGTTTGGAAGATTTTACCTGTCTTGTAGCCAACTGAAACAATTTCTCAGAATGGCCCTGTTTCTTGCGACTAGCAACATCACTAAGCAGAAATTGGAATGTTATGCCGATGAAGTTATTACGTTAAAAATTTGTACCAAAATTTTAAATGATTCAGCATTGATTTTTTAAAATTTCATTTTTTTCAATAGCACGACAACTTGTTTTATTTATTTATTTAACAATTTTTATGTTTCAAAAAATAATATTTCACTAAGATTGTCAAGTATCTTCGAACATAAAATGCAGAATTTAGTCATCTGTTAATTGTCAAAAGTTACTGTTCGTGTTACGTGAGCGTAGAATGTAATCACCGACGAACGAGTGGAAACTGGCCAGCACTCTTAACAATGGTCATCCTGAAATGTTATTGGTCAGATTAACAAGGCATAAACATAAAGTGTCTGCCTGCCAGCATCGACATGGACAATCGGACAGTGTGAACGCGGAAAGAGCAAAAGAGACTTACAATAAAATGCCTGCCAAGGTTGTGCATTTTTGAAATTATTATTTCTTTGCTGATTTGTTGACGGTGATTTTGATACTTTTGCTAGATTAGACAAATGTAATGTATATGAAAAAGTACTATTTTAGAAATTAAACTAAAAAATAATGAAAATATAACATTAATGAAAAGGTTTCAAAAAATCTACATAGAGACAAATATTTATCTAAATATTTTTAAGTTATGATAATAATAATAAAAATTATAAAAATAGTAAAGATATAGTTTTGAAACTGAAATGGATTTTTGTATAAAATCATATATAAATGAGTCATGGAAAGAAACGTGGAACGAATAATAAGTTAACTTATTTAAACTTATTTAAGACACTCGTCTGTGACAATGGCCGTGGATGTGTATTGAGTGAGCTGGCTTCCTGGCTGAGCTGGACATAAAAACATGATGGTATGAAAATGAGCTAGAAAGTGCAATAAGAACAAAGAAGAAAAGTTAGTAACAGCGGGTGTTATCAAAAAAGAGGTTAGAAAATTTTACAAAGAATTAAGAAAAAATGTCTGAAATAGAGGTAGTTACAGAGCGGTGAGCACAGAATAAAGAGTTGCAGTTGTTCATACGAATGATTTGGTACTGATAATCGAAGATGAGATCGGCGTTTGTCAAAGGCCAGAGTTTATTAGAAAGGATGTGACCAATGTTTAATGTCTTGTCAGAAATCATATCATATCATGTTATTGCGGAGTTATACCTGTCTTACTTAAAGCAGCAGTTGATGTGTTGGAAATGCTAGTAGATCATTTCAGGATGGGCCCGCAGCTAAACGATTTTAAACTAGGATAATGGATAACAATAATAATTTTGACAACAATAATAATAATATTAATTCAAACTTAATTATTTGACACAACGTATAAAATATCAAGATAAAAACCTGCCTGAGAATAACAAAATAAAGTGCATATAATTAGCAAAATATCTTGAATAATAATAATCATACAACAATAAGCTCCTTAGTTTTCCGACACCCGCATAACTTACATAGGCTGGCTGGCTGGCTGGCTGGCTGGCTTGGCTCCTAACGATGTTGCATATACAACACTCTCAACCGTGCAAAATTTGGCAAAGTGCTCCTTACATCACGCACACATTTCTTAACCTCTAATAAACTTTTCTCTCTACCCTTTCTTGTTATTTTTTATGTTCGTCGTCTGCCACTTGTAACGCGCATAATGCTCTAATTTCACTCATACTATTTATCGTAATTAATATCTTTTTATGAATAATTAAATGAATTATTTTATGTTTTAATATTTTTGACCGTATGGTGTAATAAGCTTACATAAACACCTTAAATTAATTTAATGTATCTATGTAAACTTGCCATTAAGAAGCAAACAATTTTTTTTGTTTGTAATTGTTAACATGATAAAAAGATAATTCAAATTTATGATTTAATAAAATAAAATTTTATAAGATATTATTTTATAATTTATACATAAAATTCAAATTTAATAGAAATTGCGTTAAAATTAAAGTAGACATTTATTATTAAAATTTTATGAATCGCGCGTGGCTCGAGCGTAAACATTCGGCAGCATAGTGCGAAGTACAAATTTAAAATGTTTCGAAATAAAAATGTTTTTTTAATTGCTGGCAAACAAAAATAAAAAGTGAAAAATTTTCTCAGCTGGTTTAATTTCTGTGTTTAAATATTTTTTAGAGAAAAAATTTTTAACGACAAAATTATTATGTTGCGTGAATTGCTTTCTAAAATGACAAAAACAATTCATGCAAACTGAAAAAATATTTTTCCAAAGATTTTGTTATTGTATACAGTAAAATTTTTTTATCTAGAAATATGTTTTTTATTATGCGGTAGAAGTTTAAAAATATAAATTGAGAAGTAACGTACGTACTTTTTTATTGTTCCAGTTTTTCGTCTCAGTGAGATTGATTTGACAGCAAATCGACTGTGAAAGCAACTTTTATTCGCCGAAACAAAACTTTTTGCAAATTGGAAAATAATTGAACGCCTGCAAATGCTGCCTACTTGGACTTTTTTACTACATTCCATTATTTTTAATTTAATTATTTTTAATTTTTTAAATTCTGTGTGATGTTTTTGTGTGACGTTGTTTTTTTTTGATGTTGTTTTTGTTTCTTTTTATGTTTGGGCCACACTTGGGTAAAAGCTTTTAATTTTTTGCCGGCTAAATTGTCACATTTGTTGATGGAATAGTGTTCGTGGGTTTGAAGCCATTAGATGTGATGATGATGGTGATGATGATGACGTTGATGATGACGATGATAATGATGATTATGTTTATGATGATTGCGATAATGATAATTGTGATAATGATGAAGATGATGAAGATGAATGTCGGCCATCATGATGATTTTGATAACTTTTAATGGTAGAGCTTGGTAGATATTTCTTGATTATGAACGATAATAAAGTTTCAACGAGTCAGTAGATGAATCCGTTAACAATAATAACTCATTAGACGAGTGAATGGTAAAAAATGAAATGGCTACTTTGATTGAACGGTTGTGGCAGGCTGGTAGCAAGCAATCACTCTCAGACAGTCATCGTCGTACGTTCATTATGCGTCTGTCATATCTGACAGCATATCACATTCATCACAATTATAATTTCACCGAAACTCGCAAATGTTCATGATCGTAAATATATACACGCATATATTTTTTTTTCTTGTCCAAGTATGATTGATTGAACAGCTTTTACCTTTATTAAAGATACTTGAGGTTTTGATTTTCATATTGTTTCTAATGCTTTTAAAATGTTAGACTGATTTTGGTAAAGATACGTTGTAGTGTTGTTGCCTACCATACCAATACAACATGCTCTCTATATACATTAATTGAATAAAATCTTAATCTTTTTTACTCTATGTATTTCTTGCATTTGATAATTTTGCCTTGCATATTCTGCGTTTGTCAGATTTTGATTTTTTAAAGAGCAAAAACTATTACTCTTCTATCCGTGCCAACCGATAACATACAAATATGGAATCCTTTTTATTAGATTTATCAGCAATTAGTTCAATCTTTTCAAGCTGATATTTCAATTTTTTAATTTCTGTTAAAAAAGAAATTTCATTATTCTTCTTTATAAAAAGTTTGTTAATCAAAAAATTAAAGCCCAGCCACTTAAATTTTTCTTAAGATTCCCAAGAAATCTATCCTTTATTCCGGTAGAAGTGAATTTTATCATTTTATTTAACCATTTTGGTGTAGGTGAACGCGTTATCAATTTTCCTCTTTTTGAATCGCCAGTGAAAACTTCCTTCTGCCACTTTACGGTTTGTGACGTCTTGCAAGCAGAAAATTGTCATCTTCGGATGGTGCCGGATCACTCCGTCAGAAAAATCCGAGATCCATCCCAATTCTTCAACAAAGTAGCAGCGGACATTCAACCGGCAGGGCAATCTCACACTAATACGTGACGTAATTTCAGATTTTTAAGTTTTTAGAGCAGAAAAAAGTTTGGTATATATACTTCTAAATGGAGAAACAAAAATAATGGTTGCTGCATTCATATAAGTTTGATCAGAACAAAATTAAAACTGCATCTCAAGAATTAATACCTCAACTAGATATAAATTCTTGAATATTAGAGTCTTGGTAAACACAATCGTAAGACGTCACTTAATTATATTTATTTTGAAATGTTTGGCAAGTGTTTTGTGTGCTTCATCAAAAGAGCGGGCCAGGAGCTTTTACTTCCACCACTCAACATTTATTTTAACAATCGAAAACTATAAAACTATAATTTGTAGTAGGGCCTTTGGGTCAAGCGAAACAAGTTGTGGCAGAAGTCAAAAATAATTGCACTTTGTCACTATCCATCTATTATAATTATTAATGATATTTTGTGCCAACATTAACATTCTAAGTACTCACAATAGCAACATTTACTTATGCAACCGTAAATAAATGACCTAAAACCATCAATTCTTATTTGAAGCGATTTTACGGGCTGGTCCATTAAAATTTCGACCAAATTAATGGCAAACAAACAACAAAATTACGATCATTATTTTCAAAATTTTAAGAGTTTAAAACTAGCAAACTCTAGAAACAACATCCAAACATTCAAAAAATCTCAAAATTACAACAAAACAACTCAACAAATTTGTAAGCAACTTCAGCAACAACAAAATGTCCAAGCAAGATCGATATAAAGAAGCAAATGTGCTGAACAACATATCAAATAACTTCAAATCCCATCACATCACATCACGTCACGTTTTGTAGCATCATATAGCACAACATCACATTGTATAACATCACATCATATCATAATATCAATACATCATATCCCTGTCCCACAAACAAACAAATGGATATGTTGAGGAATGAATGAATGAATGAATGAATGAATGAATGAATGAATGAATGAATGAATGAATGAATGAATGAATGAATGAATGAATGAATGAATGAATGAATGAATGAATGAATGAATGAATGAATGAATGAATGAATGAATGAATGAATGAATGAATGAATGAATGAATGAATGAATGAATGAATGAATGAATGAATGAGTGAGTGAGTGAGTGAGTGAGTGAATAATGAATGAACAAACAAACAAACAAACGAACGAACGAACGAACGAACGAACGAACGAACGAACGAACGAATTAATGAATGAATGAGTAGTTGAATGAAACGATAAAAAAAATAAATGAATGAATGAAGAAATGACTAACATGGATTTGTGGAACGGGGTAGCCACTAAAAACCACACAGATGAGTTCACCCGGTTTGCCTTCTACCATGCGTACGCTACTCAACTGCCGATGCCTGTAAAGCGATGTTTCTTCGTCCGACCAAATTGTGTTGTGGTTGTCGCTGGCGTGGTTGTGGCTGTTGTGGCTGAGGTGTTTGGAGTTGTCGTTGTGACTGATGTGTTTGTGGTTGTTGCTGTGAATGATATGTTTGTTGTTGTTGGTACGTTTCAAGTTGTTATTAACACTGTTGTTGATCGTATGATTGACGTTTGTGTATCTGTTGAATTGATCGTTAATGTTGAAATTACTGATGTTGTTGTGGTTGTTGTTGTGGTTGTTGTTGTGGTTATTGTAGTGTCGTTTCGTGTGAAAATGTTTGACAAGCGTTTCAGTGTTTGTTGTAACATTAATGTTACTCGAGTTTTTGGAGTGGCGATATTTCACGTTAATGTTGTTAATGTCGTTGTCACGATTGATTGTTCTGTGAGCGATGTTTTTGATAACGTAGTTTTTGTTGTTAATGTAATCGTCTGGATAGCGTTCATGCTTGGCTATATTGGCTTGGTCTGAGACTTTCTTATTTGTTGAGTTTAAAAACAGTTGAACGTGCCTGTTTTGATTATTCAAACTTGTTCTTTCCATTTTGTTGTTGTTGTTGTTGCTGCTGTTGTTGTTGTTGTGATTCATGTTGTTGTTATCTTTATACATGTTAATGCTAGGATGTGTGTTTGCTTTCATAAATTCTTTGACTCGAAAATTCCTCGCGTTATTAATTTTCTGACGGCCAATATTATTAGAATATTGTCGCTGGTGTTGTGATTGTTGCTGTGGCTGTTGTTGCTGGTGATGTTGTTGTTGCTGGTTCGGTTGTTGTTGTTTAGGCAGAAGTTTGTAATGTTGGCTTGTTTTATGTTGCTGCTGCTGTTGTTGCTGTTGCGAAAGAAATTGTTGTTGCTGTAGATGATGAAGTTGTTGTTGCTGTGTATGATGAAGTTGTTGTTGATGTGGATGATGAAGTTGTTGTTGCTGTGGATGATGAAGTGGCTGCTGTTGACATTTTGCATCGGTGTTCTGATTTGTGTTCTCTTCACAGTTTTCTGAGACACGCCTTCGATGACAATTGCGATGATGGCAGGCTAGATGGCATGGCCATTTTTCTCCATACTCATCATTTTCTTC